TTCGACGATTGGAATAATTATAAATTTGTGTAAAATTCTACTGCTATAATTTATTTAGAGAATTTTACTTTTTCAAATCAATGCACACCAATTATTTTATGATTTATTTATTTACACATAATGCACATTTGGTGCATTGGCGGCCTTAATGCCTAAGACATTCTCTACCAGTCAACCATTGGGTGATGCAGAGAAAACAGGAAGTAGGTGCATTTTAGTTCCAGTTGATTTAGACATTTTATATTACATGTATACTTTGTACAAAATCATATAATATATACACATATACAAATCTGTCATATACTACACCTATACATATTTATTACACATAAGTACATACTTTATAATACATAAATACTGTATAAAAGGATATGAATACATACATACACACGCAAGTAGATACTGATAACAATTTTATATTAAAATAAAAAGAAATCATGAGCAAGTGGATTCTGTCAGTTGTTTGACCAGATACTGCTTTACTTTTACTTTAGAGGAAAAAGTTTTTAAAAAAGTATCTGTATGTATAAAAAATGTTTTTAATCAGACAAAAAGCTATTGTTTTGTAAGAATTTCCACGAATACCACCTCAATGGTGAAATGACTATGATCGAATCGAATCAGCTTAAATAAAACTAGCTAGAAGTCCAGGTAAGTCTTGTAAGTAAGTAAATAGTAATTAATATTATTTAACGGGAATTAACGCGATCTCTTATTTAGGGTATTACATACCTCTGGTTTGCCTGACGTTTCGACCAGGTTGCACCGGCCGTGGTCACAGGCTGACTGGCTCATCGGCGTGGCAGAGGTATGTAATACCCTAAATAAGAGATCGCGTTAATTCCCGTTAAATAATATTAATTATCATGGAACGCGAAAGTTTAAAAGTTAGTAAAGTAAATAGTATTCGTATTTTGAAACCTCAACTTTCTAAGTGAAGCATAGCTTACAATTTATCATCGTACCATATCCTCTATCCTCTTTCCTCCTCGTTCATCCTCTTATAGCTCAGGAACATTATTAGAGCTTATAAGACAGCATGACTACTACTAGCACTTACATCGGTGATGCACTTAGCAGCAATGAAATGGCAAATAAATGCTGAATTTACACCCTAGACAGAACTAAAACCGATATTTTATTTTGAACTTTGTAGAACTTATCCCGCGTGGACAGTTTTACTGAAATAAAATATTGTACCACTGTAGCAAGCACATTGGCAACATTGTTTTACACATTCTGTTTTTAATCAAGCACGGGCACACGTCTACCGGAGCAAGACAGAAATCAATTTATGGTTCGTACTATTTTAGAAGAAATTTCAAAATGCTCTCTTTCCTCCTTTTAACTATATTAAAAGATAATTAGATTTAGTGTGGTCCGGATGAAAGGTCTATTCTATTTCAGTTCAATTTATATCTACCAAATAACACACCATTGAACAATTTAAATTCCCAAAATGAAGTAGTTCTTGAAATTTTGGTCATATAATTTGGAATATCCCTGAAAATATACGAAGTTAAACTATGTTCGTTACAGTCAAATATATTTCAAACATAATTTAATTCTAGAAACTGCCTCAAACGGCGCAAATACTAAAATTTAAAAGGAAATTACCCTTTTGAACTGTTTAGGGTCGAGACGCTAGGCTCATGTTGTCTGAGTGCTCGTGCTATGTATGAACGAGCTAAGCAACACATCGACACTTCTCGTGATCAGAAGGCCGCCCTTTTTCTAGCACAGAGAATTAGCATTGCTATTCAACGTGGTAATACCGCTAGTCTTCTGGGAACGTTACCAGTAGGCGATGATGAGGAGGAATACATTATGTTGATTGAATTCTATAGTAATGATTAAATGTTTTGGTAAATTCCTTTAAATGCTTCAGAGATCAATTATTCTGGCCAGCGTGATATAGTAGGCCAAAACCTCCTTTCTAAGGAGAGGCCTATGTCCAGCAGTGGACTAGTAAAGGCTGTTGATGATGATTATCAATATTTTTGTAGGTCAATGAATTCTTCTGTTTTTTAAATAAATTCCAAACTAAGCTATTATTTGATTGTCCTCTCTAATGGGTTGGATTTACCCTTGGGAATTAATAACTACAATCGTGATTATTATAATAACACTGCTGGGTACTGCGAAATCTCATTATGAGAATGTTTACGTCATTATTATTCCACTTCATTTGTTTGGTAGATGCCTGACACCGGCGGCACAAATTGTACAGCCGGATATTATTATCTACTAGCTGAAACCCGCGGTGTTACCCGCGTTTGTTGTTATAACCGCGGACAACGCCGCGGGGCGAAGCTAGTCTAAAAAAAGTAGCCTAAGTTACTCCTTATGTCATCAGCTATCTACCAGTGAAAGTCCCGTCGAAATCGGTCCAGCCGTTCCAGAGATTACTGGGAACAAACAAACATAAAGACAGACAGACAGACATTGTAAAAAATGTTATTTTGGCATATGTACCGTGTAAACATACATATGCATTTAGTAAAAAGCGGTTATTTTAATATTACAAACAGACACTCCAATTTTATTTATTTGTATAGATAATGTAATTATATTAAGATCGCCTGGCGGTATTATCTTCACATATTAACATAAAGATTCTCAATTAAAATCGTGAGAAATTCATGTTTCAGAACACAAGGGCAAGGCTCGACCGGAGTTATGAAACTGCCTCACAGAAAACCGGTGTTAAGCAAAACTTTCGTGGCTTTTCACCAAGTGAGTTAGGTTACCGGAGCCCAACCCTTTTCTCCTTTAATTTATTATCTTTTAATTTAATACTTGTTACTCTTGAGTGACAGGTGTCCAATTGCGACGGTAGTCATTTACTCGTACCATCAGGTAATCCATCTGCTCGCCGTTTTTTTTTCTTCATGTATATAGCAAGCGATTATTCATTTCTGTAATACATAACATCTTTAATAATAAGAAAATTTTAAGTTAGTTAAGAATGGAAATACAATTCGAAAGAATTAATGTTTAGTTTTAGTATTGTGTGTTACATTTTGGTATTTTTAGATAACAACATTTAATTTAAGAACTGTGTGAATTGCGATAAATTCAAAATTTACTTTCTGTAAAATCGTTTTTTTTAAATAATGATTTTCATAATTGGAATCGTCCCTATACCACAAGACACAATGAAATTCTTTGAAACCAAAGTGCTTCTTATTATGTTATTCAAGAGTATAATTAATATACTTCTTTAAGGTAATTGCGTAACGTCAGTAATTTCTTACCGAAATTTAACCTCATCAACTTCGAAACTTAATTGGTATTTTACAAATTAAGTTTCGAACAATGTAAATGTCTCCTACCCACGTGCTTATTGAACTTTGTTAGCCAAGTTACCTCAATTTCTTAGCTTGAAATTTACAGAGAAGCGTGGTCCGGTGCAAATTCAATTTATTTTGAGACACATCTAACTTGCTCCAGTGTAATAACATCACGGAGCCACAGGATTTTTAATCTTGTCACTGTATAACTTGTCAAATAATGTTTAGTGGTGCATGGCTTTATTTCGACACCCAATACTCATTATGTATGCGAATTATAGCAAAAAAGATTCTAAAAAGTACAAATCGAATAAAAAGGAGAGTTAAAAACTTACGCTATCTACTTATTCCCTACTATCATTGTTACACCTGATAACACCATCATTATAAGCCCAAACCAACGTCGTTTACTAAAAATCGTTGAACAGTACAACAAACTACCTTTTTAACATTATCATATATCAGCTTCAAAGCTCTAAATTATAGTATTTTCATTCAAATAACATACACAGATAAAATTATTTTACCGTACAACAATTGTACATCTACAGCCTTTACTAGTCCACTACTGGACATAAGCCTCTCCTTAGAAAGGAGGTTTTGGCCAACTATACCACGCCGGCCAGACGGCAGTTTTCCTTCTCTCTGCAGTGCTGTTGTTCTGTGCAGTTTCTTCCCTTAGTCGGCTCTTACGACACCCACGGGATGAAAAGGGGTGGTGACACTCTGTATTATTAATCCGTCGCCACACGGACAATTATACGTAGGCTAATACTCGTATTATAGTCAAATATTTAGGTCACGCAAATATAAGTAAAACAAATAATTTGCGTCAAAAAGAAACACGAATAGAAACAGTATTTACAAACAACAATTTAACAAAAAAAAAACAATACCTATAAATGTTAACCAATAAAGAAATCTGTAACAAAACCACAAGTCCAGGTTGGGGTTCAAAATATGTACATTTAAGTACTGTGTGAATTGTTTATAAAATAGTCCTCGTGCCAAGACAGACTAAGGCTAAGTGGACTTTGATGGGCGGCCGCTAATGGTGGTTAGGACTTAAGACATAAGAGCCAAGCGGTTTAACTTAACCTATGATATCTTATTATATTGTTAACCCCGTTTTCTATCTCTGATTCTTGAAATTAAACCTGTTTGCGAATAAAAGTACGAGTTGTTTTGTATAGAACAGTATCTTCTGAATTAGTAACTAATTTTGTGTTAAGTAAGTTAGTGGGCTGTGTTTTAAAATAGTATAGCGATTTCAAGATTAAACAGATTATACTTTAATGCCATCTAGTGAAGGCAAACCGAACTATGTAGCATCTACTAATTCTGTATCGCGCAATGTACAGAGTTTTTTTTTCATAATACTCTGACCAAAACTCTAAAAATGTTTATTGTACTATACCAGCAATCCAAATAGATTTAGTTATGGTTTCGATGTATGTAATGTCACTTATGAGTCAGAGAACATTACCTTGGTCAAAATACTATGGAGAACAAACTGAGAAGTTTGTTGATCTAGTGGTTACTGATCTTAACTCAGATCCAGAGCTTGTGGGTTTATTTCGAGATATGCTGAGATGAATGCACTAATTTAGAAATATTAAGAATGTTTATCAGAAGGTCTCCTATGTAAAGTAGAACCAGACAGCCGTGTTTGACGTACGTTATTATTAGTTGAAAAAAAATTTGCGTATGTCAGGAGAAATAGTAAGACTAAAAGCAGTGATCTTGACAGTCAGTTGTCAGTGAGCATCTTTTTCAATATTTTATTAAAGTTCGGTGTATTACGTTATCTTTTTCTAGTCTGTTTTATCGTTTCTAATTTTTACTTACTGCTTTTTTAATTACTTTCTCTGCCAATTAGTTTAAGCCTTTTGTTTTGTCAAATTAATCACACTAATTTAAAAAAAAACTATTACCATTTTCCGCCCACGTCCAGTACCCAAAACATAGCACCTCCATTGGCCGCCACTCAGTATTACCGCGTTCCAAGTCTGCACATCTTAAAGGAAATACTTAGCAACTCATCACACAAATTGAAACAGTTAGACATTGTTCTTGTTGAAGGTTGGTACACTTTGCTAGTGGAAAGATCTTGGAGGTACATTAGCCGTAATACCACTCAGTTTAAGTTCTTCTATGTGTGATACCGTGACGCTATCTTTTACGTAATACTCCTGCAGACAGTCGGAAGGGATAAGATATTTATTTTACCGCTATATGAGCTCCTCTACAACAAAGAGACACTCGAGTTGAACTCGAAGGTATTTCGCCAGAATGTTCGTTTTAATCAAAACGCTACTATGACCTGTTTCACACTTTGCAGAGTCAGTAATTTATATAGGTAATGAATAAAGGAAAAGCTGTTATATTTTGAATTCTGTACTAGTTTATTGCTATCGTGTTTGTTTCAAATTGACGTCTTAGAAATGTGTGAAAGAAAGACACGAACAGGGTAAAGGTGTTGCTTCTTGAAATTTAACCAGGAAAGTTCTGTTTATTAAATATTCAAATTAGGCTAATCAATAATTTCACCACGAGTTGCTATAAAGAGTATTTTTTATGGAAACGTTGAACGTAAGTTCAATTTTTAATGCCGATTTTTCTTCAAAATATGTTTGATGATTTGGTTTCTGACCTTTATTTTTTTACTTAACCCGGTGACTGGTGAAAATTTGATGAATTTCCCATGTACATAAATATAGGTTTATTTCAAGTTTCACACCAGATGGCTTAGATTATAGATGTAAAGTTTTTAGTGCACACTGGCTGGGGCGTTGATTTGAGCTGGGTCTACCCTAGATAACAAAAGAAGAATCCATCTTGGTGTCATTGTATATGTATCACAAACCACCCTCGGTATTTATCATCATCTTCCCTCAGAATTTGGCTTCAAGTCCTTAAGGTGAATGAAACTGGCACTAAAAATATGGCAAGCCCTTTGCTCTAGCACCTGGCACATTTTCTTATATCTTTACATTTAAACATAATTTTAATTTAATCATAAAAAAACACATAAAAAACTGCGTGAACTTTACTTACTTACTTACTTTTTTACGGTTAAATAATTTATTACATTATTTTACACGACCTTATAGAAATCAAATTGCATTTCATGATTTCCACCATATATTATGAAATAAGAATATACACACAATCGAGTATTCTATGGCTTTTTTTTAAAGACAACTCCCGCATTAGCAATATATCTTGTGTCGCGGGGGACTTTATAAACATACATAATACGGACACAAAGAACACCCAGACTCATAACAACAATTTGTGGATCACACAAAGTGTCGTCCCATGTGGGGTTTAAACCCACAATACTCGGCGTAGTAGGAAGCGGCGTGGCTACCACTACGCCATCCATATAGTCAAATTAAAGCTTATGGTAGAACATTTCTATACAACGTTAACTTACCAGATGCCACTAAATATTCCCCATAAATATTTCATCATCATCAACAGCCTTTAATAGTCTACTACTGGACATAGGCCTCTCATTAGAAAGGAGGTTTTGGCCTAGTATACCGCGCTGGCCAGGCGGGTTGATATAGGCTTTGTTTCGAGTTTTCCTTCTCTTTGCAGTGCTGTTGCCTGCGTAGTATGCTCCCTTAGTCAGATTTTACGACACCCACGGGATGTATAGGGGTGGTGAATTTCAGAATTCTTAATCCGTCACCACACGGACTCTTATTCCCGAATTATTCTTATTCTCAAAAATATGGTCTAAATCCGAGGCATTAAATTTCAGAATACTATGTCACATGGAAGAGTCATCATCAACAGCCTATACTAGTCCACTGCTGGACATAGGCCTCTCCTTAGAAAGGAGGTTTTGATCTACTATACCACGCTGGCCAGACGGGTTGATATAGGGTTTGTTTCAAGTTTAATAATAAGAGTAATAATTAATAATTAAATCAGATATCAGACATCTTTAATAACTTCCAGGTACAAAGTTTTACTATACATATCCTGTCTTCATTCGATATGATAGAAACATCGTCTGTCCGCCAGTGAGAACACCATAAAAGCAGAATCCAATAACACTAGTGATCCGTGCAGATTTCACGAGAACGAAGATTATGATGGATCAAGTACGTGCAGATACGGCTAATGTTTGCTTTCTGATGGATTGTACGCGAATTTTACCTAACCGTATATATTTCGGTGGTAATTATTGTGGATAGTTTTTTTTTCATTCAACTTAACGTTTTAACTATCATTAACTATTACAGAAATAAATAAAATTGTTTCCTATCGTTAATGTCATACAATAAAAGTATCCCGAATATCTCCATTTTAATAAGCTTGAAATAATAAAAAAATATATATACATCTAAGTACTTCATCTATATATTAAAAATGTTTGTTGATAATACGCAAATGAAGGCAAATAATTTCGATCCCAGCCCAAGAATTTGATCAAATGGATATAGTATGAATTTATACATCTTTAAAAAAGTGATATATATTTTAAAAAACTTATAAATAAATAAACCTTATTATTAGTGACATAAGTGTGATAGTAAAATAAAACCAAAACCATAAAACACTTACCTACTTTAAAAAAGTGTTATCGATTTCAATGCGTTTAAATTAAGGTAAGTTGATTGAAGTTAGCAGCAAGTTCCTTATCGCGCTTTCCACGCGGTGAGCGGATGGGAGCGAGAACAAAAAATGTGTAACAAGAATTTTTCCGGCAGTTCTTGCGAACGCCGTTTTTATGGTATATGGTATACGATCAGACGTCTAAAGGTAAATAACTACTACCGTCCATGGTCCATGGTCGACCTGCAACTCAAGACTCACCAGTGGGTTTTCGCCCTTTAAGTCCTCTCCCCAGAATTAGGGGAAAGAGGGGTTTGGGCTTCAGTAACTAAGGTATTAAGACTCGGTGAAAAGCAACAAAAGAATTGTTTAACAGCGGTTTTCTGTAAGGTCGTAGTATCCAGTCGAACTCCGGTCAAGCGGGCCTGTTTGTGCCCTGGGCATGGCTCTAGCTGTGTGCGTGATGATTGAAAAACTAATGTTATCTAGATTTAGTAGAAGTTTAAAAAAAAACTCGAATCGATTTAAAAAATTGTAAAATAATAATTAAAAAAAAATATAGCATTTTAAAAGAGGTATCTTTAATCCTTACTACAAAGATTCAACCCTATACATTTTTAGTTTGAGGAATATTGATAAGTTAATATTTTGATGAATAACGAATCTTCTGGTCAAATAACTGTATAAACTAGTAGAAAATAACACACACTCTAGCTATGTTAATAAAGTATCTAGAAAATCGCATCTGGTAACCAAGCTTGCTCTATGGATGAGATAGAGAAGCAATATCAAACGTATTGCGGCGGTGGCTCTCTCAGAGTAGCGTACTGCCGACGAGATCGGGAATCACTGGAATTTATTACTTTCCTATCATTCGGAAAGTAATATATTTTACACTTGCCAATATTTTGCAAAGAAGTTTCAGTTGTAGATAAATTGATTTATGAAACTTAAAAGTAAAAGCTTTCAATCATTGGGAAGTTTTTTTTTAATAATACCTTTGAAGACTACTTTTTTACGCAATGAGGTGACTACCCTTTCGCTTACTGAGTATGTTATCTGTCAAAACACTAAAATTAAATGCATACCAACCACTAGGGCATGTACGCATGTTCATCAAAAACAATACTTCTTTTGAGCTATGCGATTTCTAAAAAAAAATTACTACCACCTCGTATCAAGATTTTCATTTTAAAAACCTAACAATATCTTAAAATGCAAGAACGGTTGTAATAAGGCCTCAAATAAAACATGCCCTGATAATGAATTTACGAGTATTTACTAACTCCTAGTCCCCTAGGAGTTAATACTCGTAAATTCATATATACTCGTTAATATATTCATACTCGCTAATCGCTGGGAAGAAGCCAATGAGAAAAGAACTAACATTTGTCAATACATATATTATGAAGTTCTAGTAAAATCATATGGTTCTGGCCACATCATATGGCGTAAAGACTTGAGATCATAACTTAAGTGGTCCCATAACTATTATCAAGTCGGTAAAACATTTCGCATACAGGACCAACCTCTTGTGTTTTTCAGTTTTTATTTAATTTACACCCCCGTGGGATTTGGAGGCGGAAGTGCTCGCCGAAGTTTATCGGCGAGTGGCTGACTTCCGGGCGGAGAGCGGATTTCGCCCTCCGCCCGAGGACGTGCGCGAGAGGCGCGAAGCCGCTCGCCGAGCCACCATGGTCAGATGGTCGTTCCGGCTGGAGACTCCACACGCTGGCTTCGCTGCCGTGGAGGCTCTCCAGCCGGTCATCGCCGAGTGGGCAGGGCGGCAGCACGGGACCCTTTCCTTCCGGCTGACGCAGGTGCTTTCCGGGCACGGTTGCTTCGGAAAGTACCTGCACTCGGTCGCTAGGAGGGAACTGAGTCCCGCCTGCCACCACTGCGACTGCAGTGAGGACTCGGCCCAGCACACGCTGGCGGTCTGCCCCGCATGGGCGACGCAGCGCCGGGCCCTCACTGCAGTCATCGGAGCAGATCTCTCGCTACCGGCCGTAATTCGCTCCATGGCCGGTAGCGACAGTTGTTTTACCGCGGTCGCAACCTTCTGCGAGGAGATAATCTCGCAAAAGGAGGCGGCGGAGAAGGCCCGGGAGGACGACTTCCACTCGGACCTGATCGCTTACCTGCGCCTCATGCTGCCCTGAGTGTGGCCGCGGGTGGACGGGGTGGGTTTCCCCTCCACCCGCATTAGTTTGGCCAACCGCGAGGGGGCGGCGTCCGCGTGTGCCGGACGTCGCCTAAAGAGAGGAAAATTTTGAGACGGGGCCCGCAATAGGAGCGGGCCGGCGCTAGGAGGGGTCCAGAAGGCGATAACTACCTGGACCCCTCCTAAACTGGAAGCGCAAAGAGGGCACACCGTGTGGTTTTAGTCGGTTCGAGTCCGACACACCACCCCAAGTTAAAAAAAAGAATTCCACAAGTTAAAAAAAAAGGGTTTGTGTCAAGTTTTCCTTCTCTCTGCAGTGCTGTTGTTCTGCGTAGGTTTTTTCGCTTAGTTGGCTCTAACGACACCCATGGGATGAATAGGGGTGGTGACACTCTGTATTCTTAATCCATCACCACACGGATATATACGTTTACTAATAAATAATCCCTTAGAAGCAAATATTATTTTGTTCTTTTTGGTTTTGGTTGATGGTAACTTTAAATCAGTTTCTCTCATATTAAAGTTACTTGCCGTACTTACTTTAACTACTACAACAATCTGTCACCCATTTATTCTCCCCAAACAAATTTTAACTTAACGTGACAGCATCTCACAAATTGTCATCTAAGTGATTTTTAATGGTACCAATAATTTTCTTAATGGCACTTTGAACAGTTTTTCACTTCAGAGATAGTGGGATATTAAATTATATAGACATTTACAAAGCTAGTTTTTTGCGCCTGAGTATGTCCTCGTTGTATTTAATTTTTAAGGTGTGTAGAAGATACTCCATACTGCCGCCTTGAATAAATCACGTGGTACATACTTCTTTATATTTCTTTTTAAACAAATACAATTCTCTGATCTGTTTTGATTTCATACAAAAAAAAAGGAATTTCTGTCAGTTTTAGAAAATTTTAGGAAACTTTTAAAAATTACTTTTCGTCTCAAATCCTAGTATCATGTAATCTATTAAATATATCAGTAAATTTATGCAACTATTTTCAGGTATGCTTAGTAACGGATAGTATTCCTTTATTATTTCCTCAGAGTGTGTTACTTTAAACACTCATATCTCATGCATATGAGGCATAAAATATTACAAACAGACGGACATTTTTACCTTCTAAACGATAAAATATTTCGCTGCTTAAATTTACTCGATATATTGATACTGATAGTGGGAGATTCGCAATAATTTACCCGTTCCCTAGCAAACACAAATCTTCAGTTAGTAATCCAATATTTCTCCGTAAAGCTGCTTAGTTGGATCACGTCAATGCTTGTCGTGCTGCTAGCGGTAATATTTATCTCAATCAACATTATTGGATCAATGAGGAATTAGTTTCCAAACGTAATGGCAAGTGACGTTTTATGTTTAACCCTGGACGTCCCTTCATATTACGTCTTAAACTTAATTGATTTGTTGATGAACATTTAATGCATTTAAATTTCTATTTTAATTATCATTAGGTTAAATGTAACTATTTTCGTTGACTTGTATACTTTGATGTATTCTTTAAACCTTAAAAGATTCAAAGCAAAACATAAAATATGTTCTGGCAATTTCTTATTAGGTACACTTATTTGTTTAATACGCCTTAATCTGAAACACAACTTTGAATTATTTATAAAGTACCATAGCGTTTACGAATCTCTTTTAATTTCATAGACAGATATAGTTCATATATAGACATATATAGTATCAGCCTATCTCAGTCCACTGCTGGACATAGGCCTCTCCCATTGCACGCCACTTAGATCGATTTTGGACATCTCGCATCCAGCTCCTGCCAGCCATCTTGCGCAAATCGTCACTCCACCTACACTACGTTTGCCGAAAGACGCGGTCTCCACTCAAGAACTCGTTTTCCCCAACGGTTGTCGGTTCTGCGGCTAATATATATATGTTAAATACCAGAAATGCAGTGTCTGGACTGTGGGCGGAGGAGTTTACCTACACTGAAGGCTGCCTTAAGGCGTTAACAAGGTCAGCGAATTTAACTATTTAGTTCATAGACTCGTCGATAAGTGCAAATGAAGTGTCAAGTATCGTTAATGGCGTACATGTCAATGTTACCAACACCAAGAGCAAGCTTTTTTTACTTTAATCGTTGTTTTAAATAGTTTTACACTTACCTATATTTTTTATATGTGTAATCCATGTAGTAATCTATATTTAATCCTTAATTAAATAATAAGTCTTAGCACTTTTGTAAAATAGTACAAATACACCAGTGGCCCTCAATACTGATAATGGCTGCATGGCTGGAGTAGTGGTTTAAGCGGTAACCTCCCCGCTTCCCGTTGTTCTGAGTCTTTACTTCACACCTCTCACATATTACTGCACGGATGGCATAGTGGTGTAAGCGGTCGCCACGCTAATCACTACGCTGCGTGTTATTGGTTCGATCCCCACATGGGACGACACTTTGTGCGATACACAAATTATTGTTACGAGTCTGGGTATTCTTTGTGTCCGTTTCATGTATGTTTGTAAAGTCCCCCGCGACACAGGATATAATTCTATTGCGGGAGTTGTATTTAAAAAAACAATCTTCAAAACAAAACTTACTGGAACTATACATTAAAATAAAATCGATAAAACTGTTATTAAATTTATAAGTTTTTTTTTTAAAGAGAAAGGGAGTGTTGACATCGTTGGTGCAGTAGGCGGAGTTTAAATTTACAATCACTTTTATTTTCTAATGTTTTCATGCTATAGAGGACAAACTAGCAAACGCGTTACCAGATGGTGAGTGACTACCACCACTCATGGACATCTACAACTCAAAGAGTTACGTTTTACACCCCCAAAAATAGGGAAAAGGAGAGTTATGGGTTGAGTTATCCGACTGTAAAAACTATTGTGCCGCAATGTAACATAGTATAACGTAACGTTCTAAATCATTAGAAAACACACATTAACTGTGTATACTTGGGCTCATGGCCGAGTAGTAACCGCGTAGGTTAAAACATTGCAAAGTTAATCAATCCTAGTCAGGTCAGTCTATGGATGGGTGACCATTCTTAAGACATTGAGACTGCTCCGTGCCTCGGAGAGCACGTTAAGCCGTCGGTCCTGGTTGTCATACGAACATCTGTGGCAATCGTTACGGGTAGTTGCAGGTTCGCACCGTAATAGTACAATTCGAACAACGTATTAGCACACCGTAATAGTACTATTAGTACGGTTTTAGTAGCAGTAGAAAACTTAAGCGTTTGTATTGATATTACTTAAAGTAATGAAACGGAATACCAAGTAATTAAAAAAAAGGTGTTATAGAATTTTAGCAGACCGCGCTTTGCTAAGGAGGGAAGTGGATTTACTGTATTTCCAACTCCTTCAATTTTCTTGTGATTAATTTCGTTGCGGGTTCCAAGACAGTTTAATTTCTTCCTGGGACTTCCCGAGTGTCATAACTCGGTGTGTTCGTGGGTCACTGCTGTGGATCCTGGTGTACAGGAGTTACAGTGGTGGGCGTGTGGGTGGGATTAGTCCCAATAAAAAAAAAAGTCGGACAACAATCTTTCTACAAAACTTCAAAATCGCCTAGTACTTGCGTTATGGAGATCTGATGGCAGTCGCAGTCGCAGTGAAAAATCGTATCGTAGTAGACTTAAAGCCCACCCCAACCTAGTATACATACAACCTAGAATGGCGTAGTGGTTTGTGTAACGGACTGCTATTCCAAAGGTCGCGGGTTCGATTCTCGCTCAAGTTAAACATTTGTGTGCATGAACATTTAATGTTTGATTTGGTCTAGGTGTTTCTATGTATAATATTCTATGTATATATTTATATCAATTGTCTAGTACCCATAGTACAAGCTCTGCTTAGTTTGGGACTAGATGGCGTTGTGTGAATGTGTAAAAAAAAAGTTTGAGAAACATTCGAAACAAAAAGTCACTTTTTTTCTTTACTCAGACAACATTCTTGTCGGTTTAATGTAACAAAAAACTTATAACAAACTATAAAACTTAAAATGAGCACACTAATCTTAAAACAAAGCAAGACTTTAAATCATCTTTCGCAGTCCAAATTCTAACATGAACCGTTTTGTTACGTTCACTTCTTCGGTTTCTCCTTAGTCTGCTCCTGCTTTTTCTTAGCAGCAGCTAAAGTCATCAATAGATTCTCTTGTACAATAGCTTCATCTCTTTCTTCTAGTATAAGCTGAAGTTGAGGTGGCCATGTTGCATCTGTCAAATGCCATCAATTAATTTTCCTATTTGCTTAGAACTTAATTGTACTTGCAACTACGAGTCAAAAGTAGCCCAAGTTACTCCTTACATAGACAGATACCTGTAGTAAAATATTATCAAAATCGGTCCAGCCGTTTAGAAGATTACCCGGATCAAACAGACAGACAGACAGACAGATAAACAAAATTGAACTGGTTTTTAGGCAAAGGTATCGTGCAAATAAACGCGAGGGCATCAAAGGAACCTATTATTTTGACATTACAAACAGACACTTTAATTTAACGATTATTTATTATTGATGTGAAAACTTCTTTGCAACAACAAACAATAGAAAGTATTTTTTGAGATGGGAAAAAACCATTGAACTCGCGACCCTATTACCATTACCGACACCTCTCTATATAGGTATAACATAATAATATCTTTATTCAGTAGGAGAATTGTGTCTAATTAACATTACATCTGTACCTGAACTAGGCTTAACACCTGTGTCTCAGCTAAATATTCTCTATATTAGCTCAAAATTAGCTAAAGTATCTACATATGTATATTGACACGAGAGTGGAGTTTGGGTTGAAATACATTGATTATATTTCTAAATATGATATAAACATATATTGTGTATATATGTACGTACAACAAACAACATACATTCAACTTCATTCGGAACTTTTCGAATCGAACAAAACAAAAATGATTCCTGTTGTTAAATAAAACAATCAAGTTTTTCACTTCTTTCTCTTCTCGATTTATTAAAAAATTAAGAAGATAACCTTTAAACATATGTTGAAGTTAATCGTCTAATACATATAAAAAGTTATGTATCAACAATCCGGTATCGTAGGTATATCACTGCGCAAAAGAGCTGGTATCATTTAATTTTCTAAATTTCATCAATTTGATCTCTGATATTGAAAAACAGGCTAAACTATCAATAAAACTAGAATAGCTATTCTTACGAGTATGAGAATATTTTGATTAGACAACTGATCATAGGACACCAAAAATCAATAAAGTGGCGTGACGTCATTATCAGACATTTAGCCTACTATTGTCGTCAAAACAGTAAAAAAAACGTACCGACACTCAGATTGTCCAGTAATTGGCATCTTTCCTTTTGCCTACCCAGTACATGGACTTCGTTGTATTCTTGTAATTCACACATACGATGCAACGCTGCTTCTATGCGGGCTTGCCTGGCCTGCTTAGCTGCTTCTGCCTTCATCGGAGTTACAAGAACACTGGGAAAAAGTAGTTTGAGATTATATAAAAAAGAACCGGTCCCTAAACCCTTCACTGCAATTTCATCATTGAATGCAGCAACTGTGGTTACTTAACAGTAATCTCTCTTTTGTAATATTTTAACTTATTGTAATCGGTGTAAAACAAAGCATATTCTATCTATCAATCTGATTCTTTACTCCCGGATATCACAAACAATCATCGCAAAAAATGGCAAAAATCTACGACTGACCTACCGGTGCAATCACAATATATTTCAAATTCTATTCTAAATTAAAAAACAAGATAAATAAGATCTAACCAATCATGCTCAGCCAACTCCTTGATGCATAATGGCAGAAAGTCGAGCGGTAAAAATTTATCCCGAAGTTGTTCAGGCATCGTCAAGTACTCCAATTCTTCTTCACTCTCCAATGACATTTCTACCTCTACAAAAAAAACATCCAAACAATATATTTAATTAATTTTAAAAAGAATAATGAATTGAATAAAATAATTGTAAATTTGTTCTCAATTACATTCATGTAAAACATCTCTGACTCTTTGAACAAATAGAAGAACAGTAAAAGGAGAAACTATTTTATAATTACCATCACTTTCAGTCACAGGAGTTGGACCATGAATCTGTTCTTCTTGCTCTTCTGTTAAAACAAAATTAGGTAAAATAAAAAAATATTTATGAAAAAAATGTACTAATAAACCAAAGACTTCATTCTTTACTAACTTTTTAACTCGTCTAGTTCTTCTGCTTCCGTGCCCTCATGCATCAACTGAACAAAATTAATGTGATTATTTTGAAAGTTAAATAAAAAATATTGAACTACAAATTGTAGTTTCACGTACTTTAAAAGCTATAATCGTTAAATCAACTTCAGATTTTTTCAAATATATACCTACGTGAATTTTAATTTACCTAGACTATAGTATAAATTTTATAACTTACGTCAAATTGTGTACTAGGAGTACTTTCACTAGGCGGTGGCGGTGGTGTTTCCATGTGTTCTTCGCGGAACAGTTTTCTGTAATGTTTTAATTTAGTTTGGTTGGAATGTTTAACTTCTAACAAATGAACTCACATAAATGGATTATGTTTAAGTATTTGTTACGATGGACATGGACCAATGGAATGGAATCGAATGGAAATATTTATTCTTTACATTAGAAGTCAACCTAGGACTTCTTAAATGAGTTTGGCCAACCGCGAGGGGCGGCGTCCGCGTGTGCCGGACGTCGCCTAAAGAGAGGAAATAATTTTTGAGACGGAGCCCGCAACAGGAGCGGGCCGGCGCTAGGAGGGGTCCGGATGTCTTAATAACAGCTGTTCCCGGATCCCTCCTATTACAGGCGCACCGTGTGGTTTTAGTCGGTCCGAGTCCGACACACCACCCCGCCGCAAACCCCGGTGGGGTGACGGTCCGAGGGGATTTCCACACGTTAAAAAAAAAAAAAGGACTTCTTAAATGAATATTTATACTATTCATTTTAGAATTCATAGATTGCATATTAATAATATAAAATACTGAAGTTTAATTATTTGATCATTTTTGCTTTAGTCCCCGTGAAAATAAATGAAAAGGAAAATATGTGAAAATACAAGGTCCATGTCCATCCAGGTCTATTATTCCTGAAGGGTTAGGCAGAGGTATATTAAAATGCCCACATTTAGCCTACTACATTTTTAGTCCCATTTAAGTAATAGAGGGCAAACATATTGCCGTTAACCGGGCAAATATTTCTAAATAGATTTTAAAAATACATATAACATGTTAATTACACCCAGATACAGAACAAAATTAAATAATCATTCTCATCACACAACATTTGACTACACGGATGGCGTAGTGGTTTAAGCGGTTGTCACGCGACTTCCTACTACGCCGAGTGTTCTGGATCCGATCCCCACATGGTGATCTACAAATTGTTGTTCTGAGTCTGGGTGTTCTCTTAGTTTCATTTATTTTGCAAAGTCCTCCGCGACACAGGATGTATTCCTAATGTAGGGAGGCTCTGCGTTGTGTATCAAATGTTCTAAAATATTATTATTATTATCCTGGGTGGTAATCAATTGATAACAATAACCTGATCTCAGCTCCTCTCTTATTTCTTCCAACCTCATTTTCATCCCACGCCCTCACTGCATTAGCAAATTCCATTTCTCTTTCGTCATCTCTTTTGGCAATTATGCCTCCGCCGAGGGCTGATGAACATTCCAGCTCAACATACGCATCGCCAGGTTGTGGCTGATTAATGTTTGGGGGTGGAGGAGGCATCTGTTTATCTTTTGCGGATGTTTTTATCACAACTACCTGAAATTTCAAAACTTTAGGTGCAAATGGATTTCACAGGTAATCTCTGTGAAAATTTTGTAGAACTATTTTTTATTAACATAGCTTATGTTAGAGTCAGGTCACAAGTTAAATTAACAACAGTGGTCGTTGTACGTAAGAAACATATATGGTACTGCTAACTTTACTGAATGTCAGAATCTACGGATGATGAATGGATTAATTGGTTACAATAACGATTTAATTAACATTATACATAGCGAAAACGTTAAAAGAAAAGGCGGCGTTTTCTCAATAATTTGACAAAAGAATATTAGTTGGATTTAAGTCAAAGATTCTGGCAACAATGAGTCTACGGAGTCTCTAAACATTTCTTTTTTTTTCTGTGCGGGAATCCCATAGCATACCACTTACCGGACTCGAACCGACTAAATCCGCACGCCGTCTCAGGTACCAGTAGTCGGAGAACCAGGTATACCCTAGAAAGGAAACCTCACCTTTTCTTTGACGTTAGCTTTTTTTACGCTGTTGTCCAGTTTCAGCATTTCTTGCGAATTCCGAACTTCAGTAACCCTTCTCCATTGCGCGATGGTTAATGGCCATCCATATGGAGTCACGACTCTGCAAATTTTAATATTTAAATGTTGTTGTGATTTTGAATTTGAATTTTTGAATTTGATGATGCAGTGGTAGCGTATTTGACTACGGTGCTGAGATCTCGGGCTCGATTCCCGGGTCGGACCAAATGTTTGTATGGTCTGGAAATGTTTGTTTCAGAGTTTGGGTGTTTTTTATGTATAATATGTATGTGTTTACAAAAACAAATAGTATGTAAGTGTTCTATCAGTCAATCTAGCTTTCAAAGTACAAGCTCTGCTTAGTTTGAAACTAAATGGCGTTGTGTGTTAGATGTCCAAAAATATTATTATTATTACTTAGATTACACTTCTCCTATTGAAAGGAGGTTCAACTAAACGTGGGAGGACAAGCACCCTTCCGTCCTGGAGTAGACGCAGCAAGCGCCGGGAAGTGCAAGACGATCTCTTAGCGAAAGGCTGAGATAACAGCTCATTCAAAAGATTGAAACCGTCTATCATAACTAGTTTAAACATATACAGTGCACTTTATTATTTGGATTATGAGTTATTGCTGTTTATGTTATTGCTATATATATTAATATTGTTGTTTGAGTTTTTGTAGATGTTTCAGCACACAAATAAACTTACTCAATAATGTACTGCTTTGCCCTTGCTTCTGCGGACTCTTTTATCTGAAATACCACTAAATGATATAGCACAAAGACAATCTACACACTCTATAGCTCAATAAAATCGAAGAAATATATAAAAATATTTTTTTGTTTATTGTCAACTTAAATTTCTTTTATATATAAATGTATTTTTTACACCAGGGCAGAGATTTTTTAATTCACAACTGTGTTCCAATAGGTTATTTATTTGATTCATCATCATCATCAACAGCCTTTAATAGTCCACTGCTGGACATAAGCCTCTCCTTAGAAAGGAGGTTTTGGCCTACTATACCACGCTGGACAGACGGATTGGTATAGGGTTTGTGTCAAGTTTTCCTTCTTTTTGCAGTGCCGGTGTCATGCGTTGTTTTGCGCCTTTAGTCGGCTCTTACGACACCCACGGGATGCATTGGGGTAGTGATATTCCGTATTCTTAATTCGTCACTACACGGACTTTCGGGAATATTTGATTCAATCAAAATTTGATTGAATCAAATATTCCCGAAATAAATAAAAAAAAAAAAAAAAAAAAATATATTTGATTTTTATGATTTTGACGACCGGATGGCGTAGTGGTTTGTGTAACGGACTGCTATTCCAAAGGTCGCGGGTTCGATTCCCGCACAAGTCAAACATTTGTGTGCATGAACATTTAATGTTTGATTTGGTCTGGGTGTTTCTATGTATAATATGTATGTATTTATAAAAAAAAAGTAGTATAGAAGTCAAGTGTAGTCTCAAACTGACGAACATGATATTGGTATCACTATTTTTTATGATTCCACTGAATTAAAAAAATGACACTCAAATGTTACCTTTAAAGCTGATCTGTTATTTTTGGTGCCAGCTCCTTTACTCTTATGACTCTTGATAAGAGAGCGTGCACTCTCAAATTTAAAGCCCTGTTTACTCTGTGGAGGGAAACTTATTTACAAATACTTGATGACAAATGCGACATAGGATGAAACTACTACAGTAAAATATTTCTTATGAAGATGAAGAAGCTCTCACTAAACTTCAATTTACATAAAATATCAACTCGTCCTAATCAGGTAGTATTTTAATATCATCAACAGCCTTTAGTAGTCCACTGCTGGACATAGGTCTTTCCTTAGAAAGAAGGATTTGAGCTACTATACCTCGTAGGGAGAGAGAGAGGGGTGATGACACTCTGTACTCTTAATCCACATGGATATTTTTCTTGACAACATTAACCGAACTCCAGATTTACCGAACAAGAGAGTCAACTTAGTAGCCCATATACGAGTAGGTATCATGAAGTTATTACATCTCATCTAAGACTAAGAACCAGAAAGATGTTTTTGTGGTCACTTCCACATTATAACCAAAAACATATTTTAATATCATCTGGCGAAGACACACAGAACTGTCTAATAACAAATAATCCTAAATCGCGCAATAGAAATATGTATTATTTAGCTATCACTGGCGGTATGATTTGCTCCGGTACTTACTGCAACAGTGCTTCGTGAAATATCTGGGAAAGGTTCTAATCGTATATAAGGCCAGTAGATTTCGCCTTTACCGGAGCAACTGGTTAATTCTTGAGATTCCCCATCAGCTGATATAGTCCGGAGAGTAGCAATTATTTCTAGCTAAAAACAATAAAATAACTACTTTGTTATACTTAGTTTTGTATATATATAAAAAAATGTATATTAATATTAAAGAAAAAAAAAGAAACCAAACGCCTGAGTTAGAGTTTAATCATTTTTCTTAATTTATTTTTCTCAATAGTTTTATGTTATGTAAGCTCTACTGATCCAGTGTTTAAAACATTTTAAAAGCTCATTACTGGTCTATGGCCATATAGCAAAGAATAAAGGTAAGGGTAAATAATTAATCGCAATAAAAATATACAAAACCTGAGCTATTTACATTTAAAACAACTCAAATTATAGTTTCTATGTGTGCTTCTACAGGGTGCAAGTAGGTGGAGCGGACAAAGACGCGGGTTATTTGCGTCAGTATACACAAGTAACTTGCACGTTTGGTTGGTATAATGTGCATGGTGCTCGCGCGGGATACATGTGACGGGCTGAGAACCATAGTGGTACAAGTGTCAATAAAGATTCTTTGAGAAAAAACGTTTGTACAAAATAAATCACCTGTCAATTTAAAGTTTTACATCTAACATGCATTGAAAATTACAAATATTTTCATATAAAAAAGAAAATACACAATCACTTACCATTATGGCATGTAGACCGATATAAAATATTAACTTATATCAGTATGGCACATAACAGTTAGGTACTTCTTTGCTTACACTTAAATCAACGGAAATCTGGATAAAAAACAATGCTAAAAAGGATCTATTTTAAATTTTGTTTTTTGTAATGTATTTATTCGTCTAAAGTACGATCTTGAACACTTTTTTCATCGGTTTCGTTCAAGCTATTTTGTCGAGGTCCTTTTGGGCGACTTGAGCTGGGTAGTTGGTTATAATTCTCCTCGCTTTTTAATGCATTATAAAATGTATGATGTACTGGTGGAATGATTTTTAGAAGTTCCATTACATCTTTGTATTTATCAGATTTTATTTTTATTTCGTTTGGGAAAGTTCTCAAAGTTTAGGAAGGATTGTATGCGTCTTCCTCTTTTCAGATTTGGCAAAGTTCAGTAGTGTACCTGCGGAACTAGCCCGTGAGACGGACACTCCTTGTCGCGAAGCCAATAACCTGCGTAAGTGCCTCAACATGCACAAGCTACTTGCATAGTGTAGAAGCATGTATGATTAAATAAATATAATCTACTCTACGTTAATCTCTATATTTCTATAATACTCTATATTGAAATGAAAATATTGAAATCGTTAATATCTATGATGAGTACGTGTAGTTGGCTAAAAGGTGGCTAAAAGATATCAGTTACAACGATTTAAAATATCTGTTTTGCAATAAACACAACCAGTAAGTCGATATCTAAATGTCTAAATGTCAGTGGAGCATATCTTACTGTAGCTGGTAAATACCAAAATTTAGTCATTCGCAATGTGTTACAATTTTTATGTTGTCCTAAATAAATATTGTATATTAATTAATTAATTCTTGAGTGTTTCAGTATCACTTCAATCCTAATCTGCTAACTGCTAACTCAAACGACAAAGCATCTTGTACAAGATTAAAAATAAATCAAATTTTGTATTTTTATATTTATATATAAATTTGAGGGCTCAATGCTAAGTTTAAATATATAGGTACGTATAATTTTTCTAAAAGTAATGATTTGCAGGTATCCAAAATAGATTTCATGTTTCCTTTTCTTGGCACATCTTACACTCATCTGTCTGATCCTGAACTAGGCAGAAGCCTGTATTTGGTAACCAGACTGCTGATAAAGAAATTTATATAGTTCTTAATACCATACGTATTATAGATAAATGACACTCAGATACATAGCAAATATTCATGCTCATCACACAATATTTGTCCTGGGTGGGGATCGAACCCACGACCTCCGGCTTAGCAGTCAGGGTCACTAACCACTAGAGCAACAGGCCCGTCAACCTTGTGGTAAGTAGCTAACGCCGCTCTTAGACACTTGCGACTTAAGAGTAACAAATGAGGTTGCCGTAGCCCAAACCCCCCCCAACATGACAGCTTGGCTCTCGCACGACAGCAAGACCCTTCCACTACAAGTATAGCTCTTCATGGAAGAGGAATCTTCATGTCAAGGAAGTACAAGGAAGCTGTTGTATTATATTTGGAGATTTAAGGCGAATTTAATATTTACATCATTTGGAATTTGCTATAAACGATGTTAAGACCGCTCACATCAGGTGATGTTGCTGCAGTCCTAAAACTAACAGCCTCGTGCCGGGTCACTGACAATTGTATTCCTCCCAAAATATTTCTTCGGTTGGGAATAAATATTTCGTCAATGTGTAATTTATGTGCTGGTGATAAAGGTAATTCTGTACATGGGTCTTCGTTATCACAAATGTGGAAGTCATCGTTGGTGCTGGAGAAAACGGTGAGTTGCCATTGGACTTCGTAGTTGAAACCTGCTACTTCATTTAAAGTTCCATGTCCCATGACCGTATAGCTGAAGCAAATGGAATAAATATCTAATCAGCCGTATATGCAACGTCAAATTGCATTTTTTTTGACGTGACAACGTCTTATAATTCGATGGAGCCGGCTGCACGCACGAAAAAACATGACTCATGCGGCGTTACCTCGCTCTGAGGCGTTCCATTTAAGGCTTGGAGTGCAAGCGAGAGCGCGGAACGAACGACAAAGAGGCACAATTGGCCTTCGGCAGCGTTTGACATCTGTCTCTCTCCTACTTGAGTGAGCGGTGCGGACAGCTGCTATACAATAATACATTTACATGTTTTCGTAAAATGCAACCTTTCCATCAGTATTTTCTTATGACGTTGTCACGTTCAACTATCGTCAGTAAACAGACTTTACAGACAACCGATTTTTGGTACAAATATGATATACCACAACGTTAATATTAAAACATTTAAGAAACCTATTTCTACTGGTAAGTCAAATTTTGCTTTGAATCTTTAATCATCATTTTCTTTCTAAAAAATATAACCGAGAAATTATATTTGTATCGGACTTTATTTTTAATAGGTTTAAAGTACCTCTAAAGTTACAACACATATTTTTGAACTACACAAATAATTCGTATAGAGGCAATATGCGAGGTGATCACTCAATTTAAAGTAGTTTAAATCACAAAATGAATTATAAATGTATGCAATGCTACTAATTTAAAATATTGCTTTACATACCCGTGCATATTTGGACTAAACTCAAACGTTTTGTGAGCATTATATGCTTGAGGTAATTTTTCACCAGTGTCATTATTATACACCGCTAAAGTACTATGATGAAGAGTACTGGTCACATCAAAGTGAACTTTGACAGAATCGTGACAATAAAACACTCCTTGGAAGTATGGGATCCATTTACATTTGGATGTGACCAAGGTTGTTCCATGGTGTTGGTGCAGACCGTGGAATCCACTAAGAGCTGAAGCGACGGAGTAAGCGTATTTGGCTCCTGGGTATAGAATAAAGAATTCTCTCATAAGACCTGCTAGTGCTTCTTGGTTGCCAAACGTTGTGTCTTGTAGCTGAAAACATACTACATATATGTAGAAAAATAAGTGTAGCCTCCTTTTAATCCTAGACACTAAACTGACATTACGTGGGTTGCTACTTTATTGCATTCTTAAATAGTGATGTGCCAGTATTGGAAATACTATTAATATTATCATTTACATTTACATTACATTTAGTACATATAAATTTTCAACCTTTTGAATAAGTTATTTCAATAATAAGACGCCAAACTACTTCAAACAGATAAAACAGTGTCTATTGGAACTTAGTGTTATACGTAATAAGTAAGTTACTATCATCATCTGATGGTTCTTCACAACTAAACTAACTGAATGAAAATACAACAAATAACACTTGTATCGCAATAGATACAACGGACGCATTCAGACACTTCAGAGGTTGAAGGACGAATAAGATAAATGAAATAACGTCCAGTGATGTTCCTGTGAAATTTCAATTTGAGATTTGTTCTATTTTGTCTTCTTATAGCACGAAAAATGTATCAAATAAAAATATATAAACCAAAGTGAAAATTTTCATAGTAATCGGATATAGTCTATTGCCTCCGAATTTATCTTGAAAGGCACAAAATAACGAAAAAGTACATTTAAAGTACATATTAAAAACCGATCAGCTAGCTATTGTTGTAATTTTCAATTGATCAATCTGATCGGTTTCGAAGATATGTTTAATAATAGGAAAAGTAATCTTCAATTACAGCAATAGATAGCTGTATTTGAAAATTACAACAAATTAGTTGTAAATATGGATGTACCTAAATTGTGGAACTTAATATTAGAAACCCCATATTTTATTGATACATAAAATTATAGGCATGAGTAATTAATTCATAGCGGTGAAGAGGTACTGTGACCTATACGAAAATCCTTCTCACCATCGAATTTCGGCATTAGTTTACGAGACTCAATCTTTGCCATAATAAAACTTTTGCGTTCTGATTTTGTACCAGGACTATCTAAAGTTTATCAGAAACTTGTCTGTTTACAACGTTTTAAACGATTATATATTAATTCGTTCTTTCTCTTTTCAATTTATTAAAAAATTAAGATGATAATCTTTAAACATTTGTTGAAGGTAATCTTCTAATAAAGATAAAAAGTTACGAAATAACAAACCGGTATCGTAGGTACATTACTGCGCAAGAGAACTGGTATCATTATTTCAAAATTTGACATTTGCGTGTGTCAGTTTGGTCTCGGGGATTTAAAAACGGGCTATACGTATTACACGTATGAAATGCAGTTTTCATTGTGAGCGACTGAGCTTGCCACTCCTAAGTAAAATTTCACTATTTAATGTTATCTCTAAATAACATCAATCAATAAATAAATAGACGAGGAAACATTTATTGGGCTGATTATCGAGAGATCGTTCAATTAGCAGCTTTATAGGTTTCTGTTCCTCACAAGGGAAAAGGACCCCTTATTAGATAATTTTATTATCCAGTTATTAGTTTGTTAAGGTCTTTTTTTGTAGAAACGTGTGGAGATATTAAGGTACAGTTAACATTAAATACCTATACCGATTTTAGTTGATCAGTTCAAGTATTTAAGCTCACTTGTTATTATATCATTCGTTTGCATTCATATCGACGTTTGAGTTTTTTTCAATAATGTATTTTACTTGGTATTTCTATTACAACGGGTATCCATGCCATGAATGGACTCCAGAGTTCAATTATTTACATACAATTTTGTACAGAATTTGTCCGAGAGCCAGATTCGCATTTATCCGGCTTTTTACTGAATTTGGGCATAATTAGTTGTCAATAAACAAATAATTTGAAGATATTTCAAGATTTATGTTATATATTATGGTACTTACAAGCTTCATAACCTCAGGTGAAACCGTCACATGGTCTATTAGACACTTTCTGGCCCAAGTGCCCCTCCAGTGCGCTTGAATAACCGTAGCAGCCATGTGTTTTTTAATAACTTTGTCTCTTTCTTCTTTCATTATTCCACATGGTACCTCTTCAGTTGCCAGTTCGCAAATATTTGAGGCAATGGGAGGTTTTGGGGGCAGCAGTAATTTATCCATGATGTGTTTTTCTACAATTATTTTTTCTTCTGGAGCATGAGATTCCTTATACACGAATAAATATTTATTACTAGATTAGACTTCACAAAATCCATACTCAATTGTAATAACCGCCAGTGAAGAAAGAAAGAAAATCATTACAGAATACTGGAAGATATCTGTGCCTCGGCGTCTAGACCAGACATATTTCTTTATGCAATTTCACATCAACACACATCAACAGCCTATACTAGTCCACTGCTGGACATAGGCCTCTCCTTAAAAAGGAGGTTTTGGCCTACTATACCACGCTGGCCAGACGGGTTGGTATAGGGTTTGTTTCAAGTTTTCCTTCTCTTTGCAGTGCTGTTGTCCTGTTTAGTTTGCTCCCTTAGTCGGCTCTTACGACACCCACGGGATGAATTGGGGTGGTGACAATTTGTATTCTTAATCCGTCACCACACGGACTATGCAATGCAATTTCAATTAAGCGTATATTACTAGTATAACTCACGGTGCCGTGGGAAACGAACATCCCTAAAGACTACGCTTTAAAAAGAAACAGGTACTTTGACGTAATCAACGAAATAACTAAATAAGGTTATTTTGTTGCGTTGTGTCCGTGGAAGTGCGTGCGCCGGGTATACCATCTAAATCCCTCTATAACCTGCTTAAGGACCTTGGATTGCCAAGAGCTTCAGTAAGTTCTTTTCTTGAACGAATATCCAAAGGAATAGGCCGTATCAAATATGATTAGGTAGAGGGGGTAACACAACAGACAGTGGAGGCGAGAGCTGACGCGTCACAAGGAGTACTCCCTAAACGTACTCCTGGATCGCAATTCGATGTCGAAGTCGCATGTGTTGCCCCCATCTATCATGCGATGGACCCGGCACCCACAGGGTGAATCCATGGAACGCTAAAAAATAGGTCTATATTAATTTTGCCAGTTCTTTCAGTTGATGTAATATTTTATTCTAAAAATAGTGTTGTACTGGAATATGTGGTTATAGTTAAAGCAATGGTAAGCAAAATGTATGTCGGAGAGGCAACCGAATGGTGAATGGTAGGCTGGGCCTTGGAGTGGTACAGAGCCGCCTCGTATCAGTCGAATAAACCCCAAGTGGTCTGGGGCAGTGATATGTGAGTGGAGACAATTTTTTTTATCGAAGTATCCTCATATATATGGGGTTGATTGAAAGGTAAGACACTAATTAGATGATAAAAAAATAAAAAAAACTTGTAAGGCAACCGCTTCAAAATTAGTCAGCATACTTATTGACACCGTTTCGGCTGGCTTAAAAAAATATTATAACCTTTCAAGCAACCGCATTATTATTCAGTAGCTGCATTAAAAAAAAATTGCCCCATCCCTATATCACTGATCCAGTCCACTTGGGGTTAATTCAGCCGATACGAGGGGACTCTGTACCATTTCAAGGCGAAGTGTTACCACTCGCCATCCGGTTGCCTCTCCGACACACATTTGACGTGCCATTGCCTTGAACATTAGAGAATAAAAATAATATGAGCCATTTGGATTTAATCATTTAAAATAGCCGAAACATCAAATATTTCAACCGCATGAAATGAACATAGCTTAAAAATTTCATAATTTCATGCCTAATTTGAGCTAGTGTTCCTCAATAAGAATAATGTAACCTTATTATTAATGTTCAATTCAGTATTAAATAATACCTCTTCTATGTTATAACATGTTTGCTCCTCATCTAATTCTGTCTCCTCAATTTCAGGCAATAGACAATCACAAGGATCAGTTTCTGCAATGACCTTCAATGAAAACGGTGGCGGTGGTTTTGGCGGAAAACCGAAATCAGGATCGCAAAAGTATTTTCGTACAACAGCATACACGTTGCTAGCTTCTGTAGGATGCAATCTTTTCAAAAGATGAACTTGGAGGGCTTGTCTAAACATCCAGTGCAACAAAGCACGATCATAACCCACCACTTCTTTGTCCCAGGGTAAATCGGGATAATATGATCTGTAACAAAGTAAAATCCAGAACCATTTACAGAGGACTCAATACTCCTAGTAAAAAATAATGTTGTAACTCAAGTATTATAATATCAACAAAAAAAAAACTAAGCAACACGAAACCATTTAGATAAACCTAGAGTAGAAACATATAGACATATATTTAAGACAAAAGTCCGAGCTCACATTTTAGACACCCTAGCAGATTCATCACATCCGTAAGTTTTATATATTATTTGTGTATATATATATATGTATGTAACTTAGCAAGTATATGTGTATTTCAGTATATCCGTACATCCGTATCTTTTTAAAACAAAAAAAAAAACTTAATTTCTAGTGCATTTATTCAGAAGGTTTACTGGGAAAAAATACCAATAGCATTTTAAGTCCACAATTAAGTGGTAATTTGTGCATAAAGAATTAAAATAAAATAAAAACAAAATAAAATATTGGCATATATGTCATTTCGCACGAATTACCTGTTAGTCTAGTGATTAGTGACTGCTAAGCCAGAGGTCATAGGTTCGATTCCCACCCAGGACAAATAATTGTGTGATGAGCACGACCATTCGTTTTGTGTCTGGGTGTAATTTATCTATAATATGTATGTGTTCAGAAATATTGAATCCCATAGTACAGGCTCTGCCTAATTTGGGATACGACTGCCGTGTGTAAGATGTAGAAACAAGAGTATTGTACTTACCTAAAAAACTCTCTATCAGCTAATTGCACTCCGGGTAAAAATTGGTTCGATCTGTTTACCCTTAACCAGTTAACAAAAGCACTACCAAGAGCTAAAAGAAATTTGCTTGCCCAGGGACACTCCCTGACCGCCGCACACTGTATTTGGTCTTTGAGGCCTAGGAGTAATGCTGATTCACTGAGCAGCATAATGTGCCAATTCATTCGGGAGTGTACCCAAATCCTGATAAAGAAAATAAAAAGATACTTTAATCATAATTAATAGATAATTAATACAAAATACAATAAGGATAAGGAGAAATTCAGAATGTGGCCAGACCGTGAACACGCCGCTAAACACTCTGGCAGAATTCCCGGTGTGTGTGGAGCAGAGACGTGACCTTGTGATGGCCATTGGAGTAAGAATTCTCTGGCTCGGGATCATGATTGCTTTCATGGTATGGAGTGAGAGGTTTAGAACCCTCCCGGGCCGCCCACACAGGAGGGGTCGCCTACAAGCCGAAGATAGCCCGAAGTATGTTAGGATACCAGGGATTTCCTTTCTAGGGTACACCTGGTTCTACGGTTACTGGTACTTGCGACGGCGTGATGTTTTTAGTCGGTTCGAGTCCGACGTAACCACCACGGTAGTGTCCGAGGGGATTTACGAACAGAAACAAAGGAGGAATTCAGAAGGAGCTCATGTCTTATCAAATCAAGCAATCCGATTAATGAAGTATTTGGCCTGTATTTTTACCCATCCGCATGTCCGTGTGTCCTAAGTCCTAATCTTTGTTAAGTCGTTAGGAGGATATAATTCTCCTTTCTTGTCTATTACGAACCCTCGCATCCACTCATGTTAGGCTCATCCAGATTTTCCTTACTCATTTACTTGAATATCATTTTTATTTTATTTAATTAAAATATTATCGATATTCCCATATTTCCAGGATATTAAATTTAGAATTTATATAATTGCCAATATACTTTAAATAGAAGATGTTAATGAACTAAGAGTAGGCAAATAACTACCCTAGCAGATGTTAACTAATTTGCATATAATTCGTATCTATGGAAATCAAATTCGAAAGCTGAATACACATGTGGTGGTAACAAATTGTAATAAATAGTAAAAATAAAATAATACCTGCAATAATGTCTCCCCGGTGGAAACTTAACTTCAACTGCATCATAACCACAAGTCCTGACAAACGCTTTGGGTAAAGGAAGCACGCTGTCTTTGAACCATTCGAAGCGTTCCAAAACTAAATAAGCCGATTCTATGAAATCCACAATAAGTACTCCACTGTTGCACAGAATTCTCGGGTGTAGCATACTTAAAGAAATTTTAAGGACGTTTTCTTCAGGACCGTCTATTTGAAGGTAAAGTGGGGCACCTTTTGGTGCTTGAATGTCTAAGGCTCTGTTCATAGGTATTTTAGTTATTCTAACAGGGGGGCTATTTGCTGCTGATGTGAACTCATACATTGATGGGTAGTAAAGTACATTAGCGGCAAGGATTAGTCCTTGAACCTGAAAAAAAAATCGATGACCATGATCACAGGCTGGCTCAAAGGTCAGGCAATTCAATTACGAGATTGCGTTGATATAATATGGAATGTGAAAGTATAAAAGTGCAAGTTTGCAAATTAACGTCATGTCTAATGTGAAGTGAATTATTGCAACTTTTTTAAAGATTCTCATAAATTTTCCTTACAGAGTAAAATCACTTTATGATGAATTCTACTACAGTATGGTTGTCTCAATATTTGAAGTGGACCTAATTCAGTACTTATTAGGTAAAAAGATAAATATATACAATTTCGTATGGTATCCATTCACGAAGTTCTTCTTTTGTCTGATTTGGTTGTTGAGGTGTAGCAGTGCCTATTGGCTTTGCATCTTTTCCTTTGGCTTTTGCCTGAAATTGATCATCAATCGTTACAGAAAAACACTTCTTATAGATATAAATTGTACGAATAAAATAGAAGTGACAATGATTTGACGGCCTCACAGCAACCGGGTGTAAACCGAAAATTAAGACATTTTTTTCGTTGTTTTATCACAGCGCACTCAGACTTGGAGTGGTCTCGTCCCTCCCGTGGTGCGTCCACTTGTCTCTTAAAATGCCGATGTCAGTGGCAGTAATCACTTACCATAAGGTGACCCACCTGCTGTGTACTCCTTACATCATAAAAAATATAGTCTCTTAAATCAAATAGTCAAATCCCTTGTTGTAGTGTTATATAAATTAAATTAAAATATTACAATATAAAAATAAGTTTTTACAGACCCCAGGAGTAGTTTTTTCCATTTCTAATTTAATAAATGTAGCTGTAATCTGTAAAAAGAAAAGGTTTTTGAAATATGTGAAACATTTCTCAATACTTCAGAACAGTGCAGAGAAACAAGAGGAAATAAAATAAATTAATTGTTTAGGACCTAGTAGTAGACCATATACGCTGGGAGGGCAAACCCTTTGATTCTACAAAAATCCCGTCATGTCGTCGTATTGCTCCAGCAAAACAAGGGTCACGAAGAACTCACTAACCAAAACTCTTAAAAATTATATCAAGAGTTATTTCATTAATTTTAAATAGTGTCTGCTACTAACAACATAAAACTAATTTCTCAGATAATTGCATACCGACTCTGTACTCTGAACATCTAAGAGATGAGGAGCATAAGACATCTTCATCAGACTGTTGACTTTGAGGAATTTAGTTCTTGGACAGTCATAAGCCTCATACATGCCATGACTACGAGCCCAGTCCACCCACCGGTAGTACTTCCAGAGCGCCACCTCTGAAAGTAAATGGTAAAATAAAATATTGCTCAAGTCCAAATTGTTATTTAGTATCCAGAAATTGTTCATGAGTGACTGTAAAAAATTGTTTTTTTTTTTTGTAATGGGAAGACTCGCCAGCTAGGTGGGTAAGAAAGGGTCATGGTTGACTCTTGTGCCGACTGATGCGTCTCAAGCTCCATTGATATCTCATATTATATGATATGAAGTAAAAACTCCCTAGAGTACTACATAGTTCAATATGGATAGATTGGATTATCCGTGTGGTGACGGATTAAGAATACAGAGTGTCACCACCCCTATTCGTCCCGTGGGTGTCGTAAGAGGCGACTAAGGAACTACGCAGGACAACAGCACTGCAGAGAGAAGGAAAACTTGAAACAAACACTATACCAACCCGTCTGGCAAGCATGTTATGGTAGGCTAAAACCTCCTTCCTAAGGAGAGGCCTATGTCCAGCAGTGGACTAGTAAAGGCTGTTGATGTGATGATGTGATATGAACTGATGGGAACATGAGAAATATAATCCACCTGGTTCTGGTAAAGGTTTCTTTAACGGTATATCTCTTGCCATAGTGACAAGCAGAGACATCTTAAACCCTGGTGTTATTCCTTGTAGATAGTATGGTGGATAATCCTTGGTATCTTCCAAGATAATGCTCATCATACTTCCTCTCTGTAACAATTATTCAATCATTAAGTGAAAAAAAGTTGGTCTTCCTGTTAAACAGTCTACATTCACTCCGACAACTTCTGGATCTGCAGTAGGGTCTACAGTTCTAAACTGTCAACCTTCTTACCAATACTAAATCTGATTTGAACTGGCATTTGCTGATTATTTTGGAAATCAAAAATAGCTTAATAACAAAGTCCATTCTACCCGTTCTGGACAAAACAGTGATTAATAAATAAAGGATTAAAAATTAATTACAGTTTTATAGAGCGCCGTTATAAAAATTAATTACTTTTGCAGAAAAAGTAAATCGGAAAGCTTTTGTTAATTTTATAGAATAGTATTTAAAACTGAAATTTAACGTTCTCTAATGGACTGGTATAATTTATAGAAAATGAATGTTTTTACGCAATTTACTTTGTACACAATATTCTGTGTTTTATTTATTTGTTTATAATAAATAAGTTACAGTTGTGGAACCAACAATTGACTGAAACACGAAAACAAGTACATAACAGAACTATATTACAACCAATACCATAACCATAATTATATTCCTGGTACATAATTATATTAAGACGAATTCAAGTGCCGGAGCACTCTTACAGCCATTATCTCACAGAATGTATCAACATCCTGATCTGCACACAATAGATTGTTAACCAGAGAAAGCTCTGACAGTGGGAGCAGTAGCGTCATCTTCTGAGCGCTGACGTTGGGAGATGAGTAAGTGACGTGACTTCGGTCGCGCCGACTCGCGGGGACTTGATAGAACTAAGTGGCTCAGTCAATCGTTATCAACACGGTCAAACGCTTTTGCAAAATCAAAATACGCACCGTCAACTTGACAACCCTTCATCATATTAGTTTTCACATAGTCAGTAAATTTAATGTAATTAGTTAGAGTAGAGCGAGCTGGTCGGAAACCGTAACCGTAGGTATGGGAATTATCGCGAAGTTTATTAATTTGAGCAGAAATTTGCTTATTTAAGATGGATTCAAAAAAATTACCCAACATTGATTACACTGCAACAGGCCCGAAGTTTGTGAAAGCCGATAATGAACCAGTTTTATTCACTGGTGTTACTCTTGAGACTTTTCATCGACTAGGATAACAACAACAGTGAAGAGATAGAATATAGGATAAAAAGACGTTCCCCAAGAACGGATAAACAGTCCTTTACAAAGAAAGTTGGTACATTATCCGGTTCATAGGCAGATGATTATTTAAGTTGACGTACTACAAGCTTCAAATCCAAAGGATTAAGATACGTTGTTCTTTTTTCAATCGCGTCACACTGGATAATGTCTATGTTTAACTTTCTAAATGGGCCACTTTCTAAATCTATCTAAATTAAATGTTTTTTTTTAGTGTTTTTAACATGACAACTGCACTTTCTGATTAAATGGTTATTGTTAGATCCTCTACTGTAATAACTATCCTTATCATAATCTTTCTTCTTAACTCCCAAATCTGTGTGAAGTCGGCGCAAAGTGTAAAACTTCAAAGACTTTGGCAGATTTTTATATATACTTACCTTAACCGCAGAAGTTTCCTTGGTCGTAGGTTTCTTAGTACTTCTGGATTTGACAGTACTTGCTTGAGTTTCATCATCATCGTCCCAGGAAAATACGTTCACTTCACTTATTATTAGATCCCAAAGCATTGAAGCATCTGTTGGACAATCAAGAACGTGTCTTTTCGAAAACGAAACACTTACTTTTTTATAACTCTTTTCTCTTTATCTTTTTAAAAGACAACTCACGCATTAGGAATATATCCCGGGTCGCGGGGGATTTTCCGAAGATACATGAAACAGAAATGATCACAGAAAGTGTCGAGCTATGTGGGGATCGGACCCACACCACTCAGCGCAGTAGGCAGCGGCGAGGTGACCGCTTAAACCACTATGCTATTCGTGCAGTTAAATTCAAGCTATTCAATTAAGTTAATTTGATTTGAGGTTGCTATAATCATTTTGGTTGGAACTATTGACATATCTTTAACGTTAATAACATCTAATATTGATATCTTAATACTTAAAATAATTTTTTTGTAACTCCTTTTGAACAAATTTGACGCACAAAGGCATGTCATATTTTGAATATTTAATATTTAAATGAAGGAAACAACATCCAATAATAAATGTTACGTTAAAACGGGCTACAAAAAGCTGCAGTAGTCCAGCTATACATTTCTGTCTGCCATGATAAGAAATTGAATACAATAAGAGTTCAAGATATACTGATCAATTCAGGAGGAGAACCATATCATATGGGGGAAAGTTGAAAAAGTGTCCAGCTGTATACTGAAAATAGAGGTGACTAGCGAACGAAAAACTACAACATGAACATAGCTGTTGCAGACGGAGTGAAGTGTGCTAGTTAAAATACTATAATACTTTTAATGTCTGAAAGTCATTACACGTTTATTTATTGTCTGTAAAACTCACTGACTAGCAGTCGAGTCAGTGAGTTTTACAGACTTAGTTTTTTACCCCATATAAATTTATCCTAGGGTAGATACCGCAGCGCCACCATTTTTGGACGCTTGTTTTACGGACACAGAGATGGTTTTCCTTGCCTCTACTGCCTCTACCATCCATATGACCAATGAGATAAACAGTCCGACTGTTTATCTCATTTCCACTCCCATGATGATTTTAAAAATATAATTGACTTAACTTTTCTTATTAATCACTTTCTTAAATATACATCTTACCAAAGTTTAAGTACTTCATGTTCATAGCCCCAGTTAGGGCATGGAGAACATCAAATTCAGGTAATAGCTCGTCTTCTAAACTCGATGAGTTTTCATCAGCATTCATATCAGGAGCAGCCAACTTAAGGAGTGCCTGTTTGATTTTGATTGACAATTAGTTGTACGCCTGATTAGAATATTGTTAAGTTTATTTTTGTAGGCGCTAGTTTTTAGCAATAAATAATCTGATATTGTTAGTTACTGTACAAAATTATACATTGATCTATCATGGAACTAATAGACTTACAGTAATCGAAACTGTATTCGTACTTCCATACTTATATTTTCCTTTCTAGGGTACACCTGGTTCTCTGGCTACTGGTGCGAGACGGCGTGCGGTTACCCGAGACGGCGCGTGGCTACCCGAGACGGCGTGCGGTTTTTGGTAGGTTCGAGTCCGACATAACCACCCCACCGGTGGTATCCGAGGGGATTTCAGAAAAAAAGGCGGTTGTTCCATTAAAAAATCACCGTATATACACAACAGGAATGAATGATAGCATCCAGTGCTAAGAGTGAAATTCCGTGTGTTATGTAATATATCAGCTAAAAAAAGAGGACGTGTAAAGCCATTACGGCACAAAGTAAACAAGTCCAACCAATTTTATCCACCACTGGAACACTCCATCATGAAACTTTACATAATTTGTTGATCTACTAACAAAATAACCCAATTTGGAAGCATCAGGCAGTTTCGCAGCTCCGCTTTGTCATTAAGGATTCCTCGACCGCGGCTCAATTACACCAGTCAACATTTGCGGTTAGAGAATAAATCTCCAATTTATTACGCAATGAACGCTCTAACCGAACGAGGTGAGGTCCCCTTGGGAGCGAAGCGAGGGTACTAAAGCGGAGATGTGTTGGTATTTTTTTGCATTTTATTTTTTGGTTGTTTTATCTCGAGGTTATTTTATAATGTGTCTAAATGTGTTTTGTTAGACTATTATTAGTATATATAAATTTAATAACATCAAGTTCTGTAAAAGCGTAAATTATAATACGAGTAGTACAATAAATTCAAAGCGATTCTTTTTTTTACTCCTTACATAGCAATATGCATTATTTTAAACTATGCGTTTGATTACAATTTGTTTCCACATTTTATATTAAGTTGAAAACCTCCAAGAAAAGAGCGTACTCCTTCTTAAAAGGCCGGCAACGCGTTTGTGATTCCTGAGTTGCAGACGTTCATGGGCGGCGATGGTCACTTTCCATCAGGTGACCCTGCCTGCTCGTTTGCCCCCTCTAAGATAAAAAAAATATATGTATGCAGTTTTGTAAAGTTACAAGTTGTAAGGTACACATATTCTGTTGTAACAATTACAAAACTAAGGGCACATCCTTCAACTAGGCTAAGTGACCATTGTTGGCAGAAAGTGGCAAAACGTATGATATGACAAAGTGCATTAATAACACTGGCCAACAAAATTTGTCAAAGTTTCTTATCCAGAAACCAGAGTATGCTTTCCGAAGGATTTTGGTGCGCTAAATCCAAATTTGGCCGCAGAATTGCTCTATCACGTCAGGTTTTTGAGATATGAAGTATTTATTTAACTTTTATATATACTACATAAAAGTTAAGTAAGTACTTTGTGATATTCTTGTTTTACTTAATAAGTAGCAGGTATTTACGCTCAGTTCAGCTCGTAAAATAGCTTTCACTTTATCACTTGAATTGCCAACATAATAATTATATACCTTATTCGATAAAGTGCTAGAGATGTCATTATCTTGATTTCTTGTTCTTTAATTTATTTGAAATACGAATAACATGTAGTAGGGAAGCCAATGATGCTAATTGTAGATTTACTCGATCGTCATAGGGACTTATTGCATTTCAAAGATTAGGTAATAGAATGAATAAAAGTTATATTATGTGTCCACTTTCAGCGGTGGGAAAAGCTTCTACAGGTTTTCAAAAATGTCAGGGGAACAAATGGAAAAATAAAATATTCGGGCGCATCAGATATTTTGGGGATATCTTATTTGGACGCCAACAATTCTCCCATTGAAAGGTCTGACGATTTTAAAGTGACACAACCTCTGTGAAATCTGGCACTCTTGAGCAAATCCCGAAATCCCTTCTTGGGCTCCCCTACTAATAAGTAGTAGTATTTTGAACTGCTAGAAAATTAATCAAGTCTTTTATAATATTTTATAAGACAGTATTAAATTGCTGTGAATGTCAATTTTAATTACAACTGATACCAACAGCAAGTGTTATAATAATAATAATCATTTTTATTAGAGTAACCATTACTCATTGCTTGTTAGTAATACATAAAACTTATCCTATGTTGCTAGAGACGATTTACAATAATTCATTTATGCACTCCATGAGATACGGCGCTGTAGTGACCCATGTACCTGCAATCACGGCTAGTATGCTGTTAGAGCTAGCTCACACACTGCGCAGCAAAAATTCACACCATTTTTGCATCATGGGACAAGTAATATTTATAAACAATACTGTGCACTGTATGATCATGGCCATCATCTTCTGACCCTTTTTCCAAATATGTTTGAGGTCAGGTCAGTTCACTACTTACTCCCTTCCTAGCCATATATTTTTCCATCTTTTCTTTGGTCGTTCTCTACTCTAATTCATCCACTTCTATACTTAAAACTTTCTGCACTACATTTGTTTCTCTCTAGGCATCACATGTCCATACCAGGATAACCTGTTGCTTCTTATCTTTTCATCCATTGGTGCTACTTTCAGGCTTCTTCTAATGTGGTCATTCCTTACCCTGTCCATGCTAGTCATACACTTAGATATTTGTAGGCTGGCAGGTCTGATGATATATCTTTAAAAAGATTAGTTCCTTTTTTCCCGGAGGAATGGAGCACTTTCATTTGCCCAAACTGATTAGGAAGAGAATAACGAAATTTCCAAGAAAACTCTGGGAGGATACTAGAAAAAAACAAGCATAAACAAGGACCACTTGAAGACTGTTAGAAGAGGCGTCAAAATACTTTAATATGTGTACATATTCTAATTAAATTATTCATTTTACTAGTTATTGCCTCTTACCTTACATAGCAGCAAAGGCCACAAATGTACTACGTCTGAAGTAACAGTTGTGGGCGCCTGCTTAGCTCCTGGCTTCCCTGGAGGCACTTTACTCAACAAAGGGGAGAATGGGAGAAGTGGAGAATCCGTGGCATCTACCGGCACCTGATCTGAGACCCACACACACCGCCAGGCTCCAAGGTAAAAGAGACGGACTAAATAACAGCCTGTGTAATAAAATATTGAAGAATCATGAAAATTAATCTTGTAAAGGATTTAGAAGTTTCGTACACTTGCAATATTTTCGTATTCTCTTAGATTTGAATTTTACATATTTGAAATGCTCGACTATATCTGGTCTCTACAGTCTGAAACCTGGTATTGATATCTATACATATATTTTAAGCAGAAAGTTTGTTTATTTAGATAAAAACATTTTTAAGTGTTGGATAAAGCATTTAGGGAGGAAGGCAGGCTAAAACGTCACGCTACCACGAATAGGAGCTAATCAACGAAACTTGTTGCAAAAATTGAGAAAATTTATTACCTTTATGAGACGCTATGTTTATGTAATATAAAATATTTAACTGTTTAATTATATTACTGGTTTGCATTTTTATCGACTTTGTTCAGCGCACTGTTTTTTTCAAAAATGTCACTTTCAAACTATACCATATTTAGGTATTAGAAAACAGTGTCGATGAACCCTTCACTACTGTGGTAATTTGTGTAAAGCATACTTGATCTACAATTATTTAGGCCAAGAGTGAAACTTATTTCTTTCTTCTGTTACCTTTTTAAATAAAAAGATTTTGTTATTTTGAAAATAGCTAACTAAAAAACCAATTTCAGTAACCTACTTCTAATTATAGCAATGTAGTTTGGATGACAATAATAATATTTAATCAATTGACGTTGAAGCCCGGAGGTGTTCCCTCTTTACTAAACAAAACCTCAGACCTTACTAAAAAATAAGTACTATCTTTTGGCTGTGAATTCAATTTAAATGAGTTTAGTGGAGATATTAAAGTAGTAAGTAGTTTATAATGAAGCTGTGTGAGCTAGTTATTTGTGACCTAAATTTTTATTACGGACGGATTTAGAATAGGGAATGTCACTACCCCTATTCATCCCGAGGGTATTAAGGAAAACTTGACACAAGTCCTATACCGATCCATCTAGTCAGCGTGATATAATAGGCCAAAACCTCCTTTTTAAGAAGAGGCCTATGTCCAGCAGGGGACTATTAAAGTCTTTTGATGTGATGTGATGTGAAAAAATAAGTGGCGCATGGACTATATTGAAAAGTATGCAGTTTTTTTTTTGACATAGGGTAACCCCATAGATGCTATATGATATCTTATGATATCCTATATATACTATATTAGTCATAAAATCACATTTTTAATTTCTTTTGTGCATCTACCATGTTTTAGCTCTGCATCGCCCTATGGTTGACTGGGAGAAAATACCTAGGGCATTAAGTGTAAATAAAAAAGCAAACTCTTTAATAAAATGGTCATGCTTAACAATAGTCTTCTTCTTTGTCCTGTGTAATTCAGATAATACTCGTAATATGCTTAAGATCAATACACGCAAATAAAACTATTTCCATTTCCTTTCTCAATTCCTTCCTACGTAAAGAACCGAACATTTCGTCATGATCGTAGAATAGTCATTTTGAAAAAAATATAAATGTGGTTTTTACCATTTTCGGATACTACATTGCCTAAATATTATTACTACATTCAAGAAAAATAATTATGTATTTTAGATTTTAAATTATTTAGTGTTTGTTTGATAGGCGCTCAAAGTAAAATGAAGCATGTGGTTTTTCTAGAAAATTGTAAAATTATTAATTGGTCTATTATTGCATTTTAAAACAAACCCTTAAAAAAGTTATGTCAAAAAAATAACATAATGATTTGAAATGGCTGCCCTGTAAAGTGCAATCAATGTCAGATCCGACACTATTCTACGATTATGACGATTTCAGTGCATCAAGTTGATAAGTTGTCCTTGATATACCTAAAAAAGTTTAAGACCTACCATTCCTTGATAACCCCGGACGGTGCTGTGCCCCTCCTCCAGGTTTGATTCCAGGCGAGTAGATATGATTCTTCGCTCGCCATCCTTCTGGTCCCAATGCGAAAGTAAAATTCTCCCATTGGTGTTCCATCTGTAGTTATATAAGGTAATAAAATATTTCGTAGAAGAATGAGATAACGGCCGACTAGATGTTAATGGCTGTGGATGATTGTTAAAGAGTAAGAAAGGTTTTATTATTGTAACAAAATGAAAAAAAATTGATGTCACAAGATTCATTTAATACATTACTTAATCTACCGTATGGTATAATTTTCTATCTACCGTATGGTAGATTATGAATACCCGATAAATCGAAAAAAAAGAATCTTTTTTCCAAACACATGTATCTATCACGTGTCATTCATGAATTTTTCCGATTTTGTTTTTTATGCAGACCTTTAAAAAAATATGTTAGTGTCATTTTTTCATTCATACAAACCTTGTGTATTTGGTATTTAAATTGTATCATCATCATCATCATCATCAACAGCCTTTAATAGTCCACTGCTGGAAATAGGCCTCTCCTTAATAAGGAGGTTTTAGCCTACTATACCACGCTGGCCACACGGGTTCGTATAGGGTTTGTGTCAAGTGTCCCTTCTCTCTACAGTGCTGTTGTCCTGCGTAGTTTGCTCCCTTAGTCGCCTCTTACGACACCCACGGGATGAATGAATGAGGTGAATGATAGTAATATGTATTTTTGCCCTTTTTTTATAAAACACTCGTTTTATCTGTTAATTTTAAAGTTTAATTTATAAGCTTCCAAATGACATTTCTGAATAAAAAATCACGTACTTTCTTAAAATTGATAGAGCTGCCGTTATCCATAGAGTCTACTTTACTTCTCTTAAAATTTGACAACACCCTACTCTAAAATTTGACAACACCCTTCTGTAAAATCTTGCATGTATAATAGGTATATATATTTTGTACGAATATGTCATTTAATCATATTGACAAAAACAACGGATTCGAACTTTTGCTTTCCTTTTACTTGGAAATACGTTTTTAAGAAATATTATGTTCTTTAAGGGTCAGAAGGGTCACTCATCTCATTTTGGATTGATCAAGATTTCATATGGTACTAAATATGGCCTGGACTTCCTTTTACTCATTACCTATTCACATCCACATCCACAGCCTTTAATAGTCCACTGCTGCACATAGGCCTCTCCTTAGAAAGGAGGTTTTGGCCTACTATACCACGCTGGCCAGACAGGTTGGTATAGGGTTTGGGTCAAGTTTTCCTTCTTTTTGCAGTGCTGGTGTCCTGCGTTGTTTTCTACCTTAGTCGGCTCTTACGACACCCACGGGATGAGCAGGGGTGGTGATACTATGTATTCTTAGTCCGTCACCACACGGAATGATAATATGTAATGAGACCTAAGATAAAAATGAGACTAAAAGCAGTGGGCTTGACAGTCAGTTGTCAGTTGTCGGTGTCGCCCTTAGTCGGCTCTTACGACACCCACGGGATGAATTGGGGTAGTGACATTCCGTATTCTTAATCCGTCACTACACGGACACTACCTATCCGTCACTACCTATGCACTAGATGAGAAAAATCGATCGAGCCGTATACAGCACAAAACGAACGCGGATGCTCTTTAAAGACTGCGTTTTGGACCATGATGTAAGTCGACGTGTATCTTTTTTGTACGTCGTCAATTGTCACCACAAGGTGTCAATACAATGTCAACCATAGTAGTAATCTTTTTGAAGTAGTTGATTTGGACCAATGATATTTATTTTAGTACTAGCTGATACCCGCGACTTCGTTCGCGTGAAATTTAAAAAGCGCTGCCTTAGTGGTGTAGTACGATACGCGACTGAAGTCCATGAGGGCTCGGGTTCGATTTCCGGACCGGGCAAAATGTTATAAAGTTTTTCTAAGAGGAAAAATAGCCGAGTTACTCCTTATATGGACAGCTACATTTTAGTAAAATAATATTATAAAAAAATCGGTCCAGACGGATAAAGGTTTAAAGATTACCTGGAACAAACAGATAGAAAGACAGACAGACAGACAAGATAGTCAAGCACAAAAGCGTTTCACCGACTTAGTACCAGGATACATCCGACTATAAATTACCTTCTGTGATAGCTGAGCGGCCATATTCTAAACATGGGACATACATTTCTTTTGCATAAATATTACAAATAATATGAAGGCCATCACGGCAAATAGGGGAAATATATACTTTCTATTTGTAAGAAATATTGCAGGAAACTGCTGTCTGGCCTTCCGCTAATAATTATTTGACCAAAATAGTTGTGTTGGTAATGAGGAAACGATAAACTATGTCGAAACTAAACCAATAATAAATGCCCAAAAAAGTTTTAATTAACTAATAATTTGTCACATTAGTGTAGCATTAAAGTAACTGTAGAGTCTTCGGAATACGTCTTTAGAATTTTACGGAGAAAGCAGTTTAATGAGCATTTCTAATTTTTAATTGACCCCATATTAAAGGGTCCGCCAAATAACTTTTTTTTTTGAAAATGCTATAAAAAAAAACTACTGAATATTTTCTCAAATTTATTTTTTTATTTGAAAGTACAATCCTTCCGGTTAATAATGGAATAATAATTTTATTCAAATGGCTGTCTCGGCTGGCCATGCAGTAGCCTACACGATCGGTCCAATTTTTAAGCACATTATCGATTGTGTGCAGCTGTATTTCACCAATGGCTTCACGAATATTGTCCTTTAAAGCGTCAATTGTCTCTGGCTTGTCGGCGTAACACTTATCTTTGAGGGCACCCCACAAATAATAGTCCAGCGGCGTCAAATCGCAGCTCCGAGGTGGCCAAACGACATCAGCTCTGCGGCTGATAATCCGATCTTCAAAAACAGGGCGCAAAACATCGAGTGTAGCTTCGGCTGTGTGGCACGTAGCGCCGTCCTGTTGAAACCATATGTTGCCAATATCCTCCTCTTCAATTTTTGTGTACAAAAATTCGTTCAACATGGCCCGATAATGATCGCCATTGACTGTAACCGCCACTCCTTGCTCATTTTCGAAGAAAAATGGCATAATTATGCCTCTGGACCAAAATCCGCACCAAACAGTGACTCGTTTTGGGTATACCGGCTTTTCAATTTATGCGTGCGGGCTTTCTGTGCCCCAAATGCGACAATTTTGCTTGTTTACATACCCGCCAAGATCAAAATGAGCTTCATCCGAAAAGATGATTTTTTTGGCAAAATCGGCATGTTCTGTAAGTCGATTGCAGGCCCACTCAGCGAAACGAAAACGCATTGGATGGTCAGTTGGCTTCAACTCCTGAACCAATTGGACTTTGTATGGCGTCATACCAAGGTCTTTATGCAAAATTCGTCTCAATGATGTCTCCGAAATGTTCAATTGTTGAGAACGACGGTGAATTGATGTTGATGGCGCTTCACGCACACTTTCTGCCACAGCATCAATATTCTCGGGTGTACGCACTGTTTTTGGCTTTTCACGCTTTGGTTTATCGATGAGGATGCCAGTTTCTTTCACTTTTTTCACAAGATACGGAGCTGACGGTGCTTCTCTTCTTCCAAAATCCGTACGCAATTTTCGCACACATTCTGCAACATTACCATGATTTTCAAAGTAATGTCGCAATATTTCCCAGCGTTGTTCAAGCGTATACACAACCATATTCGTTCAGCGGAAGGATAAAACTAATTATCTGTCAAATCAGACATGAGCTAAGTGTTACCTATTCACGAAATAAGCACTAGTTGAAAAAAAAAAAACTTTACATGGCGGACCCTTTATAATAAATCTATCAGGTATTTCTTTTTTTTGTATGTCGGGAACCCCCTGAGGCCCTCATCCCACCGAGGTTTTCAGTGGGTGTATCAGAATTGAACCGAATACCACAATTCTTTTTAATGTATCAATTGGTACTCAGTATTGACTTAAATAACTCTGGCTTGCTTACCTTTTCATATAAAAAACTAGTCAACTATTATGTTTCTTTATTGAATAATAGTATAAAAAAAGAAAAATCCCGCCTGATATATGTTACAATTTAGCACATGACATGTCACAGCACTTAAACATTCATCATCATCATCAACAGCCTTTAGTAGTCCACTGTTGGACATAGGCCTCTCCTTAGAAAGGAGGTTTTGGCCTACTATAACACGCTGGCTCGACGGATTGGTATAGGGTTTGTTTCAAGTTTTCTTTCTCTTTGCAGTGCTAGTTTTCCTTTTTTTACTTAAACATTAGGTATTAATAATTTTATGATACGTCCGGAATTAAAAATTGAATTTACCATAACCGTTTCACATCTCTCCAACATAAAGCAAGCTGATAGCACGTTTCTACAGAACGCTGACCTGAGGAGAACCTGGGCGTGGCTCAATTGTATGTCTGCAACAACCATCTTGTTTGCGCTATCTTCCTGTAACAGCCGAAATTACATTCAAGTGAATAAACTCAAGAAGCAGTTACTGTTACATAAGTATCTGAATACTACAGAAAACTTCTATCTTTATTACAAGACTAATAAGGTGAGTTTTTTTTAACTTAATACCAGAAGAGACTTTCACATGATGTCTATCTACACACATCACATCACATCATCATCACATCAACAGCTTTTAATAGTCCACTGCTGGACATAGGCCTCTCCTTACAAAGGAGGTATTGGCCTACTATACCACGCTGGCCAGACGAGTTGGTACAGGGTTTGTGTCAAGTTTTCCTTCTTTCTGCAGTGCTGGTGCCCTGCGTTGTTTTGCGCCCTTAGTCGGCTCTTACGACACCCACGGGATGAATTGGGACAGTGATCCATTCAATTCCTATATTTATCTGAAGTCTTTGAGTCCGTTAAGATTGGAACGGTTGAGCGCAATAGGATTGCCTCCAATTCCGTAAATACTAAAATTAAGAGTCCGCATGGTGTGGGAATTTAATAACGCTTAGAAGATAAATTATAATAATACCAAGTAGAAGAGTTATCAATAATATCCAGAAAGCGTACTTTGATGTATATTGCCAAACTTAAGTCTTTTTAGTACAAATATTCAAAGAACGCTTTGTCGAGTAATCGAGTCGAGAAAATCTCTCTAAATATCTTCAATATTCGGAGCACAAAATACTATATAATACAGTATCTGCGACGTTGATTCGTATTATTGGAAATAGGAATAGTAGGTGCTTGGAATGTACTTCAACATTCAGTTCAACATTCTCACGGTTTGTTAATTGACTGCACGGATGGCGTAGTGGTTTAAGCGGTCGCCACGCCGCTTCCTACTACGCCGAGTGTTGTGGGTTCAAACCCCACATGGGACGACACTTTGTGTGATCCACAAATTGTTGTTCTGAGTCTGGGTGTTCTTTGTGTCCGTTTCATGTATGTTTGTAAAGTCCCCCGCGACACAGGATATATTCCTAATGCGGGAGTTGTCTTTTTTTTAAAAAGAAAAAAAGAATTAACGGTAACCACGGTCTTATAAGACTATTGGAAATTACCTTGAAAGTATTAGAAGTGGATTTGTTCCGGCCTGTTTGCTGCACAGTGTAGGACATCAGTGTTCGATAAGAATTCATTTAAGCTATTTTTCTATGGCTTCTGTTTAGCTAGTATGGTAATTTTTAATAGAAGCATTTTAGAACAGACAGAGACGACAGTGATAAACTATCACACGAGTTATTTGTTTACAGGTCAATCTTTACATAGTAACACGTGAACACAATATTTCTTCTCCCATAAGAGAAAATATCGCGCTTTAAAGTATTTCATATTTGAATTATTTTATGTTAAAACATGGAAAAGTGATGAAAGCTAAAATTTTTAAGTTAATCAACAATGGTTATATTAAACCAGGCTCCAGTAAATATTTTGATTTAAATTTTTGAGTACAAAACTCTATACAGTGACGTTATGCTAGACAATAAAAAAAACGATTCTATCAACATTTTCATTTCCACTGAACAAAAACACAACAAACTCTTTAATCCAAGTGCCACCCATTTGGTGACGTCGACGGAGTCATCACGATGTACATTCCTTATCTATTATTTAAGTAAGATTAACGAAATTAGATTATAATACAAACTGGGCACTTACATAACAAATAAAAGATTTCCGTTAAGTTTGATTACTGTATTTAATAGTGATCAGTGATACAGGAAAAATAACTCTGGTGATGAGGATGATCATATTTTATGTTATTTTTCCATGAAATGTACGTTTTTAGAAACATATAATTGTGTTTATGAGCAGTCTGGTAACTATAGTAAAGTCTCAAACGTCCGTGTAGGAAAATGAGAGAACATAAAAACAAAGAAAGATGCCATTATCTGCAGAGGAGGTTCAGGACAGTCCAATTTTAGAATGCTTTTTGATGACTCACAAGAGTGATGTTTAATAATTTTTACTATTTATCGATTCACATAAAATTATGTGTTCACCGTTAGTGTGTGTTAATGCTGTTGTTCTCCATATATTCAAAGTATGGAATGTTATCATCGCAATCCTATTTAACATATCATAGTATATATACATTTCATTATAATGGTAATTCTTTCTACCTGACTATATAAGTCCTTTCAAAACAGGATGACAGAACGAATGATGTAAGCTAATTGTAGACAATAATTGTTTTAAAACTTATCTTATACCGACTTATAACTCAGTTATAACTACATACTGTAACCATTATCCTTTCGATTTATTGATATCGCAGTGTGCAATATATGTTTAAGTAAATTGTACCTCTACCTACGTAACTTACTGACAAAGAACTCAGGCCCCCCAAACTCAGGGAATAAGAATTTACTAAAATAATAATATCATAGACATTCTTTCTTTCTTTTTTGCTTTCTTTTTTATAAGACATGTTTTTTATCACATGGGTGTCGTAAAAGACGACTCAGGGAGCTACTACTATGCAGGAAAACAGTACTGCAAAAAGAAGGAAAACTTGAAACCACCCATCAAAACGTCTGGCCAGCGTGGTAAAGTAGGCCAAAACCTACTTTCTAAGGAGACTTTCTAATGGACTATTAAAGAAAGATGATTATACTGATCATTAACATCAAACACGGGTCTTTTTTAGTGTGCTCGTTAGTCTAGTGGTAAATGATCTTGACTGCTAAGCCAGAGGTTTTGGGTTCGATTCCCACCCAGGACAAATATTCTGTAATATTCATTACATTGGATATTATATTGTTCTGTGTCTGAATGTAATTTATCTAAAATAGAGGTCGCCTCTTAAGAATTAGATTGCGCTACCAAGGACTACTTGTAATTTGATGACCTTCGGCTCATTGCCCAAGATCATTAAAGATTCGGTACTAGGACCTCGAGAACTGCACTGACCGACAATTGTAGAAATCTTGTTTTTGAAATTTATAAGTATGTTTATCAGCAGTATGATTACCATAGCACAGGCTCCTCCTAGTTTCCGATCAGACGGCGGTCTGTAAGATGTTTCAAGTTTTTAATCTTTACGTACAGAAATATCTTTAAAATTATTTGGTAAAAGCGAGCCTTTTCCGCCCGAGCGGACAATCCGGAAATAGCCATTTCGAATTAGATGTATATGTGACCTTAAGCCGTTTGAGCTATTGTTTACCACTGCAATCCCTTCTACAAACATCTGGGATAGGAACTGCTTTTTTGGTTGCATTTTGTTTGTCGTTACAATAACAAACAAGTTTATAGAATCATACTACCTATTGCCTGCATCTGTACTTAATAATTTTTCTTTATTCCGAGATTCCGTGTAGCGACAGATTAAGAATAACGATTGTCACTACCCCAATTCATCCCGTGGGTGTCGTAAGAGGGCGCAAAACAATGCAGGACACCAACACTGCAAAAAGAAGGAAAACTTGACACAAACCCTATACCAACCCGTCTGGCCAGTTCGGTATAGTAGGCCAAAACCTTCTTTCTAAGGAGAGGCCTATGTTCAGAAGTGAAGTAGTAAAGGCTGTTGATGATGATGATGATGATTCCGAGATTCCAACTTTGAAAATTATGAATTTCCATACAGCCGGTCATCCGTTATTTTACTCCCTCAAGGGTGAAATTTAAAAATTTGCTTTCTTGGTGGTTACTAAGAACATAAAAGTCATTAGTTATCAAAATGTCAAAGTTGTAGCCCCAGCGGTTTAGGTTCTGCGTTGATGAAACTGTCATGTATTGATTACAGATAAAAAAAAAGCATTAAAAATTCTAGTCTTACCTCAAAAACAACGACTTCAGCCTCCCAACGGTCCATCGCAAGTTGTTCAGCTCTCACCCAACCGTTGAGATATTGGCGAACGGATCTTGGTAATGCTTGGGTTTGGTCATCGACCCAGACGTAGTCCGCTGGAAGTTTCGGCGGCCCAGCTCCTTTGATCCCCAACGAAGAATATCCTTTAAAAGCTGCAGGACCCTAGAATGTTGACACTAAGTGCTAAAAATCTACACCAGTGTTAATAAGATCTAAATTTTTTGATACTGTTATTGGTCATTTTTTCTGATATGGCGAAAAACTGGAAGAGCTCGAATTGCCGGCAATTCGAATTACGAATATTTTAGATATTAATACAAATTCCTATAAGCTACAATCAGTGAACATGTCAATACGTGATGTATTGCTCATATGTTGATATATTCATACCTGAGGCTTCAAAGGAAAATGGTTCAAAAAATATAGGTTCAGTTTTTATTGGCCTTCGTTTTTTACAACGCGTTTCAGCTACTGCTTTTATCTTTTTACACGTGTCAACCGTTTCGGGAGCTTTGTCGCCTTTTCATTGCGTGAAAAGCCTTTGCATACCTTCTTTCAATTGGAATGATTCTTATTGTTTATTTTTATTGAAAAATAAAATTTCTATTGGGTAGGATATTATTGCTACTACAAATGTTTTATGAACTAATAGAAGTTTTGTAAGTATTGTAAATGTTTTCGAAATTGTAAATATTGAAAGAAAACCATTTAAAACAGCTCATAATTTACAATCTATGTACACCTATAGAGTTATTGGAAAAATTTCGACATCACCACCAATGAAAGTCTGCTTGATTATTATGGTTATGGTATATAGGCAAGTGCGTAATTTGTTCCTTTAGTCGACTCTCACGACACCCACGGGATGAATAGGGGTGCTGACACTCTGTATTCTTAATTCTTCACCACACGGACACTACGCAGGACAACAGCACTGCCAAGAGAAGGAAAACTTGACACAAACCCTATACCAAACCTGTTAATGATGATGATGATAGATAAGTGATTACCGCCTCCCAAAACCTACAATTCAAGAGTCACAAGTACGTTTCCGTTCTTTGAATCTCCCTTTCCCAGAAATAGGGTGAGTGGGTTTGGGTACGACTTTTCATTGACGTCCGTCTGTCCAAAAACAAATGATACACAAACAGTAGAGGGCCAGATCCCCTCTACTGTTCCAACCTAACCCAAACAATTTAAAGCTATGCCGCGGACTTCAATGGAAAGCTATGCCGGGGTTTATTCTAAGGTAATCTCACTCACTCGGTGAAAAGCAACAACTTATCCATTAGGCCGTGGCATCACTCAGTCAGCACATTTCTGAATCATTTTTCTCCCACAATTAAATAATATATAAAAGATAAATGGTGAAAAGAAATGATATTTTTTTCAGTAAGTAAATCTTTTGATATTTTTACAAGTCAGACTTTACAGCTAGGAGCCGGCTTAGTGTCTTCCCAAAAGACCTGTTGAAATCTATATTCTCTCTTAGTTTGACAGTGAATGTAGTTTTCAACAGGTCTTGCCTCATCTTTTTATATTTCTACCTTTCATGTGAGACAACATTCTTGATTAATACCGCCGTCTTGATTTATTTTGTGCGTTTTAAACACTTCAGTTACATAGCTTTTATAATATTTATGTTTAGTAATAAAGTTCTGATGTTTACCATGCCCCAGTACTCGGGTTGTAGCTCATTGTCCTTGAATTCTCTGAAGGGACACTCAGTGGGATCTACTGTAAATACGATTGGTTTCATAGCACTAGCAGCAGCAATGCTTTTCTTAGCCATTTTGGTATATTTTTATAATTCAACACCTCTCTCCGACACTTCAAATTATTTGTTTTATATTATAAATATAAATAACTATATCATCAAAGTAATTGACAGTTTCAATTTGACGTTCAAGTCACCTATTTCTACAACAGATTTATTTTTAAAGAAAAATTGGTGCTAATTATAAGGAGATTGATTGTCATTCATTTACACGACAGATATACAAAAATATAAAGAAAAAAGGTTTTATTTAACATTCGTCTTAACAGCACAGATACAAGCTGTGTCTGTGTTTTAATTCTTTAATTCATTAATGCTAACAAAATTTTTAGCACGACTAAATTTTATGTACAACACTGTACACTTAGTTTGCACGTTCAATATTGTTGGAAGCATTTTTATGATTTGGCATTGCATTTTGATTTATTGAAGTAAAACTTCTTTACGCACGCTTGACTTGGGAAGTAAGCTAGTGAATGCGTGACGAGAGCGTTGCGAAAAGTGTGATCTACCCGATCACACTTTTCGCAACGCTCTCCCGAACGGAAGTTGAGGAGGGGATATAAGTTCGTGAAGATAGAAAGAGAGTTACGTTTCGTTTATTATTGCAGGGGCAAGAGAGAGAGAGAGGTGCGAGCACACATTTTCTTTCTCTCTTTCTCTGACAGCCAAGAAGTTTTACTTCAGTCGTGTGGTCTAAAGCACACTTGTTTTTTTTAATAAGTAAATTGTGGAATTAAGAAAATTATTATTAATATTGTAGTCGAAAGTATTTTCTGCTAAACTAATCAGCGTCAGCAGCCGCGTAAATCCTTTTTTTATGTATGTGTAAATAAAAACATAACCTATAAATGTAAAAATACTGGTTCGAATAAACATTGAATGTTTATCCAAACCGGTATTTTAAGTTGGGATTTTTCATTCTTCTAGATAGCGCTCAAACTTTAAATAAAAAACATCTTACTAATACGCTTAATCAATATTTATATGCATTTTTTTTTGTTTGAAATTGACGTTCACATCCAAAATCAAGTGTTTTTTTATTATTATTTTCGTACACAGTAGGCAAATGCAACTACTTCCTGTTCTCTCTACATCACACAAAGGTTGACTCATAGAGAATGCCTTAGGCATTAAGTCCGCCAATGCACCAAAAGTGCATGATGTATAAATAAATAAATAATAAATTAATACATTTTAATTTTTGAAACAAAGCAAAATAACCAATTAGACTAGTGAACTCTAGATGTTTTTTTTCAAACATCGTTTTAAAGTCACGTAGTTAGTTCTTTTACCGTAGTGTTGCAGCTCTTTAAATTCACTTGAATACAAATAATCGTTAAAATTATATTCAATTACATACATTCAAAATATTATTTATTATATTACATATAACTAATAACTTTACTTATTTTACATTTACATACATTTAAGTTACAATTATTATTATTTTTTATTCAAGTCAGATCATATAACCCGCCCCGCGTCGCTCCCGGTGCAAAGGTGCCCATGATACTGGCAGCATTGCCTCGCTGAATTGCAACGGACATCCTTTGCACCAGAAACGAGCCGGAGCGGGAGTCACCACTTTTATCCCTAACTCGGCGAACAATCTCCGCAATTAACTTTTTAGCTTCCGACCCCCAACTGCCCAAAGTCTCCACCGCAATAGGCACAAAATAATAATAAATTAACTTAGTAAAATTAAAGAGGAAATTTAACACAAAATAATTTACTCGGTTATTAAATTTTATTCAAATACACATCTAAAAATAACAAAACTCTTAAACATCAATATATGGTATGTATAGAATATGTTGCCAGTTATAAAATGTTTTTATCCACAAAAGAAAACAGAGATATAGCCTGTTCAACACCAAAACTTAATATTCTCGTGGCAATCCATAAAGTCCACCTTTAAAGAGGGGACCAGGATTTGGAGAATATTAAACATAAGTTTGACTAAGAGCTCAAGGTACCTGGCGGACAGTTTCATTACTTGTAACCTTGAAAGAGAGAAGGAAAATGTACCAACATTAAATCGTTCGGGTGAATTCATTTCCTAAAACGTATATTTATTGCTTGGATTATTAGATAATCTAAAATATTACATTTTTCTATTTAAGTAAGTTTTTTTAAGTAACAACTATTACTACTGGTACAGTACTTAGAATTTTAAGCATGCTTTGATTTTTTTTATTAAAGACAACTCCCGCATTACGAGTAAATCCTGAGCATGAAACGGACACAAATAACACCCAGACTTAGAACGTGACTTAGAGACTTAGGACGAAGTGTCGTCCTATGTGGGGATCGGACCCACAGCACTCAGCGTAGTAGTGAGTGATGTGGCGACCGCTTAAACCACTACGCCATCCTGTATTGTATTGTATCAATTGTATTGTATCAAAACTTTTATTTTGAAAATGACTAAAAATGTCTCTAAAGGAAAGACGTGCGTTAAGTTAGAAGCAACGCTCACTAGATGCGAAGCAACGAAGGCGCTTCTGTGAGGCCGAGAAATCACGGATGTCGAAGCATAGCTCTCCCATAGCAAAAGTTACCACCTAAAAGACTATAATTCTGAACGGTATATTTATTTATTTGGTATACCAACAGCATACATACAATGCACTCGTATAAAATATTTCCACAAAATACCATACCTGGAATGCATTCCCATTACAGGTACACACAACATTCACCACAATAAACAACACATGACATTGCAATATTACGAGTGAAATAATACAAAAACTGAATACTACTTGAATCTAGATAACATAAGGTTACTCCACTGAAAATATTTTTATATACTAATAAAAAAATCAAGGACAAACAATAGAGATAAAAAAATTACATGGAATAAAATGAAGTAAAATGAAATAGGTTTGTACCTTCTTGAAAATGTTGGAAATCCGTCTATGTGTGCCTGAGCTATGCCCGAACATACAAAAAATATATAAACATCCGAATTGATAACCTCCTCCTTTTGAAGTCGGTTAAAAAAGTAGGTAATGGGGGATTTAATGTATATTTCAATCTTGACAACACAAACATCGTGGGAAGGCCATGTTTCGGCATAAATGGGCCGGCTCGACCGGAGTGATAACACGGCCTTACAGAAAATCAGTGTTAAGCAAATCTTTCGCTGCTCTTCACAGAGTGCTTCACTTACGAGAGATGGAATAAAATCACAATCATATGTTAAAAATCATATAAATACATCTGTGAGGAGATTTACAAAGCCACTGCTACTTAGTTATTACTATTAAGCTAGCGCAAGACAAGCGAAAGGCCGAAATCTAAAAAGAAGGGTCGTAAGCTTCGATAGAAATAATTTTGATTGATTTTAATGCCATTTATCTTTGTCTATGACGAAATCACAATCATGTGTGAAATCGTTGTGACTATAACCAATCTTTTCATCATATGAATTTGATTTAAAAGTAGCAATAATTTCCATGTCCAGATCTTACCAGAGGCCCAAACCTCTCTCCTCTTAATTCTGGAGTGATTTAACACCTGGCAACGCATTTGTGATTCTTGGGTTTTAGGTATCCTTGGGCGGTTGTAGTCACTTACCATCAGGTTTGACCGTTTGGCTCGTTTGCGCTTTATGCCATAACAAAAAACAAAATTAAATTAAATGTATGATCCTCGACATTTGGCACATAACACAATAAATTGTATTCTAACAGATTGTAAGGCTTTAGGCACGGTTGTAGTAATTTCATTCATTCTATAAGACGGGCTTACAAAGATATTTAATTTGACATTCTTGTGTTCGGACTGAAAGGCAAGGTCATTAAACAAAGTCTAGTCATGCATACGATCATAATTACGAAAATATGCGTTAAGCTGGCAATTGTAATCAACAAACTGTCAATCAAATTGACTCCAGCTGTACAACAAAAAAAAGAATCTACTAAAAATTGTAACGCCAGCAGTACCAGAACATTACTTCTCTTCAAAGAATTTAAGGTTATGATCATTTTTATTTCAAATAAACCAAATTCGACATTTAATTTTGAGTAGTTTAGTTTACATTCCCTAGATGGCGCTAAGAAGGTATTGATCTTTTTTTTTAAATTAGCCAATATAATGTCAATTTTGAGTAGTTTAATTTACCTTGCCTAGATGCCTTCATTTAGCTATAACTTTTTGTTTCTTGAAATATTCAGATGATTCTTAGGAAGAAAGTACTTAGATTTACAGCAATTTCTGAAGGAATATTGCAGAACTGGTTTGGAGCTGTATTTACTGAGATAGATTTCCTTTACGCCCACAAAATTCCTAATTCTTATCTCGTGTGTCAAAAATAATAGATATAAAGCAATTATCATTTTATATAATAGTATAATATAATAAACAAGACAATTATAATATAGAATTTAATTCGAACGAAATAAATATTGGTATATTTTATTTTTTTATTTTATTTTATTGAATCTCCAACAAGAAATACACCTTACATGCTAGTTATAAAGCCAATAAAATTTTAAGTCTTGTGCTTCCTCAATTATAGGAGACCACAACATGGACATTACAAAGAAAGATTAAAGACAGTGGCCACAAATGGCCTTTGTAAATAAGAAAAAAAACAATCAAAGAATCATAACAATCAATTGTGCAAAAAATTGTAGATTATAAATTGCAAATTAGCAGCAGTCAAAATTCAAAATTTAAATGGTAAGGAGGTACGTCAACAATCACACAGTGTTCAATATATGAGTGCGAACATTTTTTTTAAATTTACCCAGACTATTAGAAAAGATGTCTATGTCCTCCGAAGCAACTGAAATGGTGTCATATTCGCGAGTCATCCTAGCAATTGGTGCTTGCTTCCCTAAATTCGTCCGGGCTCGTGGGACCTTAAATAGCGGGCGAGGGTAGCGTGGGATTCTAGTTGGAACACCTATACCGATCTTACTGAGGAGGTCTGGACAGTCAATGTAGTTATGGAACAGTTTGTATAAGAATACTAGATCAAAGATAGTACGACGGTCCCTAAG